CCCCCCCCCCCCTTTTGTTCTGTTTTTTACTCTCCTTTTCTAGGAAAATGTTTATTGGTCCTTGACTTCCAGTATCCGAGTGCAGTCCTTTTCTTGGCTGGAGCTGAAGATCTAATAAGTTGCCCCCACCCGTGTTTTAAGCACTACCTTCCCAATTCCATACTGTTTGCTTCATGACTTACCCAATGAATTAAAAACAAGGAAGGAAAGACTTAACCCTTCCTCTGCCAGTGAATGCCCACCGTGGTTTCACCTCTCCAAGAACTAAACCCCATAGGCAAGGGGGGGGGGAGGTTGGAGTCAAGTTGAACAGCCCGACCATGGGGCAATCTGCTTACCTTCTGGAAGATGGACAGACAGACGAGATGTCTTTGAAGTTGCGTCTTGTGTGGATGAAGTCCTACAAACTGGCCTTTTTTCTTTGTCCTCCTGGTCAACGTCTTGGGCGTTTTGGTCAAGCTCCGTCTGATAGAGGATGCTGAGAAGAGCGGGCGGATCGTGTGGGGATGGCCAAAGGGCAATTCAGCTCTCGCTGCGATGAAGGAGAAACGATATATCTCCGCAGCCCCGCTCGATGTCTGCTCGAGAGGGAGCGCCCTTCTCCCTTTCATCAAGGACCTTCCCGCAGCATCCTCATCGCCGAGAGCCAATGGCAACGCCTTCCCATCGGAAGCCAAACATGTGAGATACGAAAGGAAAAGCGAAAGCAACCGATTGCCTGCAAGGCGAGACAGAGAGGAGAAACTCATCCTCTTCTTCTCAGCTGTCCCCAAAATAAGAGGAGGGGCGGGGGAAGCCGCTGCCGGGAAATCACCTTTTCCAGGAAAGAGGAAATTATGCGCTCTTGCGACCAAGACCGTCATTAGGAAGAGGGGGTTTTCCGGACCATCCCAATTTGGTGACATCTCATTTTCAAGGCAAATATGCTGAGCTTGCACTTAACGCCAAAGGCTTCACGGTAATCCTAGCAACTAAAATCCAGGAAAGAGGAAATTATGCGCTCTTGCGACCAAGACCGTCATTAGGAAGAGGGGGTTTTCCGGACCATCCCAATTTGGTGACATCTCATTTTCAAGGCAAATATGCTGAGCTTGCACTTAACGCCAAAGGCTTCACGGTAATCCTAGCAACTAAAAAGCATTCGCAGAGGAGAAGAGCAAGGGAGGCTCACCGGGTTGAAGATCCAAGATCAGATTGTTGTTTAGTCATTAAGTCATGTCTGACTCTTCATGACCCCATGGACCAGAGCATGCCAGGCCCTCCTGTCTTCCACTGCCTCCCGGAGTTGGGTCAAATTCATCTTGGTCGCTTCGATGACCCTGTCCATCCATCTCGTCCTCTGTCATCCTCTTCTCCTCCTGCCTTCACACTTTCCCAACATCAGGGTCTTTTCCAGGGAGTCTTCTCTTCTCAGATCAGATTAGCGCCCCTTTTCACAAACTGGGCAAGCGGAGCACATTGTCTCCGAGGATCTCCTGAAGGCTGGAGGGGATGAGGGGGCCACCCAAGCTTCCTCAGTAAGAGAGGTCCACGATGCGGTGGTGGTACCGGGAAAGGCCCGCTCCCCTGCACGGTTCTCACTTCTTGGCTGGGCTGCTAATTTTATTAGCCTTTGGACCTTGAAGAACAAGGTCCTTGAAGAACAAGGTCCCAGAACATTTTCTCAACTCCACTTCTACTGCCGATGCTCCCCACCCCACATCCTTGTCTGCACAAAGCAACAAGCTCTGCCTTGCCAAAGAAAAATTTCAAAAGGTGCTGGTTTAGATGAATGGTTTAGATGTTTAAAAAGTGTATAGATTTTTGAAGAGATAACGAAGAAGACACCAAGACACAGAAAACAAATAGTTGTGAGTAACCCATGCAACACAATGTTTAACAAGCACCAAGAGAACCTAGATTGATTGAAATATTAATAAAATGTTTTTAAAAAGAGAGAGAGACAGCTTAGACCCAATCTGTTTGGGGCTTTATAGGTTAAAAACAGCACTGGAAAGGGATCGGCAGCCAACTGGAGCTTGTTTGTGCAAAATGCAGGAGGATGATAGGTATAAAAGGTGTCTCTGAAGGGGTGTGTTGTGTGGGTGACATCCAGCAGACCGGGTTTTCCTCCGCCCTTCTTGGCAACGTCTGTGATGCTTGGATGAGGCAGACACAGAAAGCGAAAGCAACCATTTTTTCCTGAAAAGCTGAAGAGAGAGGAGAAATTAATCTTGTCCTGGCAGAAAGCCCAACGCCTGGCGATGGCCAGTAAATTTCAACAGCTCCTTTCACTTCTCTCCCCCTAAAAATACCCTGCTGGGAAATCAACTCAGCTCTGAGCAGAATCCACTGTTGAAGCCAAGGGCACGGCCAGCCGGACTGAGGAATCTGAGTGACCTGGTTTGTCCTGGAAAGGCTGTAGCATAAAACCCAACATGACAAAGAGGGAAGGCACCTGGCCAAAAGCGTCAACTGAAGCCCCGGAGTCAATCCTGAAAGGGAGACGATTAAGCGAAAGGTACTCTGCACTGGAGGAAGGCGGGGGGGATGCCAAGTGGCCTCAACCATTAATATTAGTGTTTAACTTTCCCTGTTTGATACTACAGTGGTGCCTTGCTGTGTGTGTGTGTGTTTAGTCGTTTAGTCGTGTCCGACTCTTCGTGACCCCATGGACCAGAGCACGCCACTATAGCAACTGCAAAAAATCAATGTCTAGCGAAAAAACTGTCATGCGGGGTAATTGTCTAGCGAAGCACCACTGTACCTGGTTTCCTCTTCAAGGCATTCAGCAGGTACTCCTCGTCAGTCATACAGGGTACAAGGTGACTTGACAACACAAAGCAACAACCCCACATCACCGAAATAAGCATTTCAAAAGGTGCTGCTTCCTCTGGTGACTCCCCCCCCCCCATTTTTTACAATTTTCCTTCCAATGAGTCAACACTCCATCAGACACAATACAAAAGGCAGCTCCAATGTATCCAGAAAGATGTGGTGTCAGTTGAGGAAACATTTTTCAAAAAGTTGGAGAATATGAAAAGTTTTCTCCGCTGTCCTTTTTATTGTAAAAAAAATAATAAAATGGCAGCTAATGCACTCTGGCACCCAAATATGTCTTTGTGTGGCTGAAGTCCCACAAAAATGGCTTTTTCCGTTGTCCTTCTTGTCAATTTTGGTGTTTCAGTCAGACACGTCTTATATAGGATGTTGATAAGATTTGGATGGATTGCATAATAGGGATGGCAAAGTTGTGGCCAGCCATAAAAACTCACTCTCGTAAGAATAACGCCACTCTTTCTATATCTCACAAACCATGGAAACCTTATTAAGAATGATGTAAGTCAGATAGGCCTTGAAGGGACCTTATATCACTCTTAACTTTACTCCTGAGCTTCTGAGAGGTTTCATAATAGCCAAGTAACCTGCAACCTCCTTCATATAAAAATGTATTTTTAATTGGGCAACATCATCCCTTCTCAGAAAGCAGAGGCTTCGTCCTTCCCGGCCCCCGGCCTTGTTTCTCATACGTACACACACTAATTTTAATATCTCTGAAAATTCAAGTTAGAAATCATTCAACAAGGGCCATAATACATATCAGGCGACTCACAACCCTCCAGAAAACATTTCATGACTTCCTTGAGGGTCACACTCCCTGGTTGGGAAACACAGATCTAGACAGAGCATTTTAAATTCTCCCTTTGTGCCAGCTGCTTTGTGCCCCGAAGTTTCACCAGAGATTCTGCGCTTTTATCTCTGAAAACTTCTCTTCTCTGAGAAATCAGCAATTTTTAAAGGAATAGTTTGGAAATATTTTCAGAATATGAAGAAACACTTTGAAAATGACTCTCTTCACTGCATTCCATATGTTTGGATGAGTGCGTTTGAACACCTCTGCACTAAGATCTTTTGATTTCTGCCCTTTAATGGCAGTAATCCACTCCTCGCTCCGTTTCCTTTGGAAATCAGCTTATCTTTCACACCAGCCTTTTGAAAAAATATATTTCATAAACCTTTTTTTAAAAAAAAATGATTCTCTCTGCTGGATTGTAGGCTTTGGTTCACATGGAAATCAGACATCTTTCACAACAACTCTATGGAATACACTGAGGATTTTTTCCAGAAATCCTTGATACTCTTTAGAAAAGTTATTCTGTGCTGGATGATTAAAACGTGTTTGTTTCAAATTTTTGTTAGTAGATTCATGCTAATATTGAGAACGGCCAGCTCAAGAGCGCTCACTGCTTGAACTCCACCCTAATGCAAAATGAAACTTGAAAACAAGCTTTTTGCCCCCCTTCCTCGCTGTTCGTACCCATGTGAACCTCACCTCATCTGGACAATGGGAAAAATACCATCGCCATCATCACGCTGTGGGACAAGTTAAAGGGTAACAAATGCTTCCTCTGGACGGGCGCACAGTGATTTACTTCAGATAAAAGTACACTTAAAGAATACCCTAGACTGAAATATCAGGGTGTCCATCATGGCCAAGCACATCCAAATTATCTTGGTTTTCTGTACACTTGAAGTTAAGTGTACAGACAACGTAGAGATCTCTCATCTCTTTAGCATGCCTTTGCCATTTGTGGTTTTCGTCCATTCTACTTTATTTATTTATTTATTTTAAAATATTTTTTAATTTTATTTTTTTCTACTTTTCTATCCGTCGCAACCGGAGCGTTTTATTACAGTATGTTCCATTCATTTCATCTTGTCTTATACTCTCTAACATAATATTAATCTAATCTATTCTACTTAAATTAGTGTAGATTTCATCCAGGTATACAAAGGTTCCCATTTATTATTATCCAGTCTATCATTTAGTGTATCTGTCAAAAGATCCATTTCTGCTAGGTCCAAAATCTTCTCAATAAATTCCACCTTTGTAGTCTTCCACTTATTGGCATACACTATTATTCCTGCAGTTATCAGGTGTAAAGGTCAAGTAAGTCTTGTTTTCTTCGAGTGTAGCTCGTAATATATTCAAAAAGAACATTTCTGGTGTCAAAGCAATTTTAACCCCTGAAATTTTTCTCTATCATTTCATGAATCATTTTCCAAAACTCCTTGGCCCTACTGCACATCCACCACATATGATAGATGTTCCCTACTTTCTTTTCACATTTCCAACACTTAGTAGAAACATTTTTACACATTTTTGATCATTTCTCTGGTGTAACACTAATCGTCCATTCTACTTTAAAATGCAGGCATTAAAAATGTGAATACTGATACAGACATATCACAAATACAGGCGAAATACTGGTTTTGTTATCTCTGACACAACAATAGGTTTCCATTCATTGATCGTGTTCAAGTTGCACAGGCCTAAATTCAGGGCCAGATTTTCGATCCATTCCTCAGTCTCCCAGAGATGCCGTTTTCAAAAGATTCGACACGTAGGTTCTTGCCTCGTCTGAGATATTTGAGATCGCAGATTTTGAATCTCACCCTGAAGCCTTGAGTATTCATGGTGGAAACCTTCTTGCTGAAGCCGACTCTGCTCCTGGTTGGGAAGGAGGGAGTGAAGGATGAACACCGAGCAGGAGTGGACAAAAACTAGACGATCCAGGCTACCAAAACCATCCCCCTCAGGCCACAGAGAGGGATCCCCAATCCACCACTCAAAAAGTCCCTCTACAGACCCATCTAGGGAGCAGACGGCTTCCTAAAATCTGCTGGCCCTTCCTTGTACTATTTTAGGCTTAAAAAAACCCCTATTTTGTCAAAGTTGAAAATGACTTCTGGTCACTCGTTCTGCAAGTATATTGATTTTAAGCATAAATAAAGATGGGCGGGGGACACGGGGACATTAGTCCTCAACTGCCTCCCGAAGTTGAGAGTTATCTATTGGGAATCATCAGGGGGCACACAGGAGGCCTACTGGCTGCACTTTGTCATATTAACATAAAAGGTCTTTCTAATTCCCTTGGAATTGGCATTTTTGGACCTCACTTCTTCTTCCAGCCATCCGGCTGCTAAAGAAGTCTGGGAGCTTTACTCTCAAGAGATAACTATTCCAAGTTCTGCCAGCATTTATTACAAAATGCTTTTTCTATCTATCTATCTATCTATCTATCTATCTATCTATCTATCTATCTATCTATCTATCTATCTACCTACCTACCTACCTACCTACCTACCTACCTACCTACCTACCTACCTACCTACCTACCTTGTCCGTCCATCTGTCCCTCCCTCCCTCCCTCTCTATCTCTCTCATCATCCACACCATTTTCTTTCAAATCTGCTTTCTCCTGGGCATCGGAGTGGCTTCTGTTCCACCAAAATATCTTGGCCTCTTGGATTGCTCATTTTTATCAGCCGATTTAAAAGCATGTACAAGGAATAGAACCATCTTTGACAACCTCCTCCAGCAAGCAGAATAAACACTGAAGTTACACAGCCACTGAAAACCCATTCGCCGTCCCATCTACCAACCCACCATTCCAAATGAGGTGTATTTGTCTTAAAAATGGTGACCAAAATACTTGATTTATTTCCTTATGGGTGCTCCTGAGACCTTCAGATGAGGAGTGGGTATCCATTTAAACACACTCAAAAGGTTGGGATAGAGAAGAAGTCTTACCTGGAGCTTCTGGTTCAACAGCCTCTCTTGCTGAGCCAGCAGATTCCTCTTGTCCTCCTCCATCTTGGCCATGAGGTACCTTTCATGTTCCTCGTAACTTCGTTCCATTTCCTGGGCCATCCGTTGAATCTTTTCTTGCATTTCTCTTTGCAGCTGAGCCTCCCTTTCTGAGGCCTCTGCCCGGGCTTTTGCCACTAACAACAGAAAGGAATCAGACAATCAATCAGGAACATACATCCACATGTTGTTCTAGAATTCTAGAAACAGGACTGGTTCTAAAATAAATTGCACTCTATACATGCCCAGATCTCCCAAACAGATATTGAGAAAACATCAGAACTTCTGTAATAGATCATATTTGTTCCTATGATTTGTTTCCAAGCCAGTTGGATACTTCTACGCTACTTTTTTCTCAGGCTGCAAAATCTACAACTACATTCCTTCCACAAGAATGCTCGCAATGCCTTGGTAACAGGTTTCTGCCATCTTCGGTCCACGATGCTCTCTTTACCTGTAGTCAGAGCTATATGTTCCTAATATGCTCCTAACAGGTCCGCGAAGCACAGAATTTAATACTGCGTGCAGAAGTAGTACATTCCGAGCGCTTACAGTGAAAGAAGGCAAGCCTACCATTTTGTTTTATTTTAAATTTGTTTCTAATGTTTGCTAAATGTAAGAATGTTATTTTGCTGTGGAAAAACAGATGAACTATGTAACAGTAACAACATAGTCATCTGTAGGCAATGCCTGTGACATTAAGGAGGGGCTAAGTAAAAGTTCTTATTGTCCAAGAATGGAGAATATACTGCACTGCAAACGTGCCTGGCCCTCCTTATGAGGAGTACAATTAGAATAACTAAAAATAGTGTATGGTTTTTTGTTTTTTATTAGTGGCTTATACAGGTATCGCCCATTCTTGCATTTGTAAAAACAGCCAGAGTGGTCGGAAGACCAGATGGGCAGGGTATAAATAAAATAAATAAAATAAATATTGGCCTCCATTCAGATTGCAAACTTGAGTCACTTCCTGGTGCAGAATTTTTGTCTTTGTTTACAGCAAAGATATAAAACCGGCAATGCCTGTGACATTAAGGAGGGGCTAAGTAAAAGTTCTTATTGTCCAAGAATGGAGAATATACTGCACTGCAAATGTGCCTAGCCCTCCTTATGAGGAACACAATTAGAATAAATATAGTGTGTGTTTTTTTGTTTTTTATTAGTGGCTTATACAAGTATCGCCCATTGGTAAAAACTTGCAATTCAGATTGCAAACTTGAGTCACTTTCTGGTGCAGAATTTTTGTCTTTGTTTAGAGCAAAGATATAAAACATTAACAACAGTGCTTTATAATGTACCTGGAGAAAACGGTTACAGCTCATAAATGCCTTGCTTTTCATGCCTAGCTGGCTGGTTTTCCGTCTGTTCAAGAGTGTATCTACATGACTTGGTTATAGCAATTTAATATCTCTTTAGCTGCCACAGCTACGTGCGTCCCACAGAATCCTAATACTGTAACCTAAGTAACTCGCCAATCCCAGGACAGTTCAAGGGCAGTAACTTTGGAATCAATGGCAGGATATGGTGGAAATATCTTCTGTATTATTTCTTCATGCCCTTGAGCTCTAGCACTCAAGGGTCAATGCCCAAGAGGGCACGGACCCTCAAGATTCAGGAGAGTACAAGTGGCCCAGCCCAAGAGGCAACAGAAGTGCTGGATGGCTCAGTGGTTTAGGCCTCTGGCTATGGAGGCAGACGAATTTAATATCTCTTTAGCTGCCACAGCTACATACGTCTTACAGAACCCTAATAACCCACTACTAGTGCATTTCCCCTGAACTACAGCAGAAAATTCTAAGTAACTCTCCAATTCTAAGATGAGAATGAAGGTGCCTCTGATGGGACAGTTAAATGACATTAGGCTATCTGCAAGAATTCAGTTCAATTCCCCCCTGGGCCTCCTTGACAGCGGCTGGACACCGTGATCCATAGGGTCCCTTCCACCTGTGCAGTTCTAAGACGAGAATGAAGCTGCCTCTGATGGAACAGTTAAATGACATTAGGCTATCTGCGAAAATGCTTGAGAATGCAAAGGCAATACAGGCTGATACAATCTCCTTCCAAGACAAAGAGGCATGGGGTAAAGCATGCAAAGCTCTTCAAACAGGGCTTTACCCTCAATTTCCTTCTGTTTCTCTGTGAGGTTCTGGTCAGTTTGCAGAATGGACTGTGCTACCATCTCCTTAGCCTGCAGGAAGTCTTGTAGGACCTTGGCAGCCTAAAGGGAAGAGCAGAAGGAAGGGGTGTGTGTGTGACTTCATGCATTTGCCCCAAAGTCTATCAAGAAAGACTCTGTAATGTTTATGCCCCCCAAAAAATCAAGAAGACTCTGTAATGTTTATGCCCCCCAAAACCAATGTCAAAGGCAAGGTTGCTGGCCAAACTACCATTAATCCTTTCTCAGCCACCATGTTATAGTTCTCCACTACGTTCTGTTGGTCATTCAGGAACTGTTGATAGCCACCACGCACTGAATAGCTCCCATCACAGATTTTCCCCTCCATGTCCTGGAACAATTCCATAAGCACGGCCTGGCAGCGGTCCGAAGACGCCTGCTCGTTCCGACGGCAGAGCTCCTTAAGTTTGGACTGCAGCTGGTTCTGCGAAGCAGAAAAGACCAAGGCTGTAATGGATGCAGCTGACCACGGAAACAAGCCCTTGCGTCCAGGGATCCATAGACTCTGCCCTAAAATAGAATTTTTGCACAGAGATGTTGGCAAATCCTTGGGTCTCTGAGTCCCAAGTCTGAGTCTTTACCTTTTAGGTCAGTCGTTCTGACATTTTTGTATTCCCAGACATTTAATGGGCATTAATAAGGGTTGTTTTCCTATTTTTTTAGTTCCAATCCCTCTTTCCACTTGACGTTTTACTAATGTAAATCACCTTAATACAGTGGTGCCTTGCTAGACGATGATAATCCGTTCCACTGAAATCTCTGTTTAGCGACATCTTTGTCTAGCTAAAAGGATTTCCCCATTGGAATGCATTTAAACCTGTTTATTGCGTTCCAATGGGGAAGAATCGTCGTTGTCTAGCGAAGATCGGCCGTAGGAAAGCCGCTTTGCGAACCGCCGATCAGCTGTTTAAATCGCTGTCTTGCAAAGCTTAGGTCCTGAAAACACCCACTTTGCGAGCGCGGAGGGAGCTGTCAAAATCATCGTCTAGCGAAAATTGCTTTGCGAAGCAGGGACCAAACATTGTCCAGTGAAATTCCACCCATAGGAATCACTGTTTTGCAAATCGCTATAGCGATCACAAAAAGCCAATGCCTAGCGAAAAAACTGTCATGCGGTGTAACTGTCCAGCAAGGCACTACTGTAGTTTCAGGTAGTGCAGAAATGTCTGATCTAATAAATAAATATACATCATCCTGTACCCCCAATTGTTCCTGGAACACTTGACCCTCATCCTTGAAGGAACGGTTCATGAACACTTGAATGGCCTCTTTCTCACAAGACGAGTGTACTCTCAGCAGTTCTTCCAGATCTTCCGTAGGCATCATCAACATAAGGTCTGCCGTAGCTTCATAACGTTGAACAGCCTCATGAACGGCAGCCGAATTCTCGATCTGGGCCAAGGCCAGCACTGCGTTCTCGATGCAAGGGATGGAACCACACCGGATGGCTTCCGTGTAAGACTCGGCCAAGTTCCCCAACACTGCACAATGTAAGAAAGAATGTCAGCTGAGTACACTGGATTCAGCATTCCAGTGTCCTCACACCCCCTACAGGAACACCTTGGGGTGACAAAATTAATCCGTTCTATGCAACATCATATAATGCAGAAAATTCGCAAATCAAAACATCAATTGCGCTATGAAAGGGGTGGCGCTATAGGCGCAATGTGCCCGGGGAAAACCCTTTCATACTCTAGGAAAAAAAAGGAAAACATAAACCAAGATATTATTTCTTATGGATTTTGGCTCGTAAACCGAAAACTACATAAACTGAGGTGTTCGCAAACCAAGGTACGCCTGTAGTTAGGTTTTCCAATCCTGCCTTCTCTGGAGGGCTTAAGGAAGCTACAGCTGTGTAAATAACATGTGAATAAAACCCTATAAATAGCCCCAATGAGTGAGGCGAGAAGTGCCCTCTTTGGGGGTACTATGAGAAGTTATGAAGGGCTAAGAAGTTGCTCCTTTGACCCCTGAAAAACTAGTGGTGCCTCACATTACGATGTTAATTCGTTCCAGCAAAATCGCTGTAGAACGAAAACATCGTAATGCGAAAATAAAAAGCCCACTGAAACGCACTGAAACCTCTTCAATGCGTTCCAGTGGGCTGGAAACTCACCATCCAGCAAAGACCCTCCATAGAGCGGCCATTTTCGGTCCCTGTGCAGTGAGGAATCCATCCCAGAAAACAGCGGGGAGCCATTTTATTTACCCGGTGGCCATTTTGAAACCGCTGATCAGCTGTCTGGAAATCGTTGTTTTGTGAAGAATCGGTTCCCAAAGCAGGGAACCGATCATCGCAAAGCGAAAAACCCCTATTCAGACCATTGTTTTGTGGTCACAATTGCGATCGCAGAAAGATCGTCGCAATGCAATTTCATCATAATGCGAGACAATCGTAAAGTGGGGCACGACTGTATTAGGCACATGTTCTGGGCTTCCCGGTCCTATCTCCTAAAAAGCTTTCCGCTGCACTCTTTACCACTTTTACTTACAGGACCCTGTCACCACATGTCCTCCCTGGATCACTTTGGCCTGAGCATTCTCATAAATGTAGTTGCAGAAGCGGCGTGCCTGCTCCATGAATTCAGGGCTCAGCTTTGACTCGGGGAGATGTTCTAGGAATTGCAAATCATGCCGTGAGGCTGGTCGGTCAAATACAAAACACTTCCGGTTGGGGAAATACTCCCGTAGACATTTTTTGGGAAGGTCCTGCTTCTCTGGGGCATCTGCAAGAGAATCAAGCACATGTGCATCACAAAATGGGCTGACGTATGCTCAGTTCCCATCACCAAATCAGGGCCCCAGACCAATCAAACGGTGCGGCTTTATTAGGAACAGATTAGTCTGTTATCACTGGTTCCTCTCAAAGTACAGTGGTGCCTCGCTTTACGATCGCTCCGTTTAACGACTAGACTGCATTATGACAAACTTTTTGTGATCGCTTTACGATGTTTCCTATGGGGGAATTTCGCTTTGCGATGATCGGTTCCCTGCTTCGGAAACCAATTCTTCACGAAACTATGATTTTCGGACAGCTGATCAGTGGTTTCAAAATGGCCGCCAGGTAAACAAAATGCCCCCCCCCCGCTGCTTTCTGGGACGGATTCCTCGCTGCACAGGCAGCGAAAATGGCCGCCCTATGGAGTATCTTCGCTGGACGGTGAGTTTCCAGCCCATCGGAACGCAGTAGTCGGGTTCTAATGCATTTCTATGGCCGTTTTAACTTCGCTTTACGTTTTCGTTCTACAGCGATTTCGCTGGAACAAATTAACGTCGTAATGCGAGGCACCACTGTACCATTTCCCAGTCCTAAATTCGTCCCATTCCATTCTACAACCATTCACTGATTTTAAAGTCTGCCTAAGGGTACTAGGTAGGATACCGTCTTGGATACAGCCCCGCATCATACTTGATCGGCCGGTCTCCAGTCAACGGTACCTGTCTTCCTCTCTAAAGCATTCTCCAGATATTCGTCCTCAGTGATTTGGCGTCCATCTTGCAGTGCCAGCTGCAGCGTGAAGTCCCGCACGACCCAAATAAACGTCGGGAAGAAACTGGCAAACTGATCAGGAAAGCCGTCGTCGCTCTTACTGCGGTTCCTGTTTGGGGTCTTCATCTTGATATGCTCCGTTAGTTCAGTCACATAGCTGGGAAGTGGGCTAAGGAAATGATAGGGAGCAATAAGCCCGCCAACTGCGCCTCCTTTGTCAGGTGCCTCCTGGGTTAGAAACTGACATTTTTGTATCTGTGGCTGCTATACTACAGACACAAAAATATGGATGATATAGGAGGCGCTCACTTGTTCCAGAAAACCTTAAGAACTGTAAATTCCGTAGGGAAGACTGGAAAACATGGTGACTTCACCAACTGGTAGTGTCTAGGATGACAGCGAAAAAGCCACCTTTTTTTTTAAGAAAAAAGGAAGATGGGTTTGCTGGACAGTCGTACACCTAACCCCCTCTTCCAGCTCCATTCTCATAATCGACATATTTCTCAGAAATGCTGCACAAGGCACAAATGTTCTGCAGGAAACCCCGTCCTTCCTACCCCACCCGCTCAAGTCAAGGGGTGGAGTACCATTGAGTAAACCCCATTATTTGGACAGGGGAGGCAGGAAATCTCTCAATATTCACTTCTCCCTTTTGGAGAGGTTTGTTTTTTTTAATGCAAGGAGAACAAATTAAATGCCAAGGAATAGTTGCCTTTTCATGTTAGCCAAACTTGGCTGACAAATGGAAAGGCCCTTTCTCTTAAGGAACTGTCTTTTAAGGGCAGGGAGAAACTCTGCGCGGGAGTGGGCGGTAGGCACACCTGGAACTGTCCTTCCCTTCCTCTTTTTAGAACAGTTTTTCAAGTACTTAATTTTACCGCAGCATTTTGTAATGTATTCTGGTTGTGAGTTGGTAGGCAGACTTGTTTACAGATGAACCAATGATGATTTAACAACTCCCTATATGCATCAGATGGGCATTCTTCATTTTATAATACCATGTAACTCCTACGTGAAATAAGTGCTTTTGTGGGGGAGGATTCCAATGTCCTTCTGATTCAGGGCAATTTGGGAGCGCCCATAAAGGACTTCCTGTCCCTCCTACTGGGCAGTTCACATAAGGTCATGAATCCATTCTTTTCCTCTCATTTAGAAAAGGGCATGAGGGAAGGGGAAGGGGCGGCATTAGGATGCCTTCATGTTCCACCAACCTTCATGGTCCACCAACCCCAGTATCTTCCTACAGAAAGATACTGCATTTGCTCCAGTGCGTAGTGGTTAATAGTGCTCATACTATTGTACACGAAGGTGCTGCTGAGAAGAACGGAGAGGGCAAATATCCATGAGTCGTTCTCAGTGTTGCTCTGCAGAGAGGGACACAAATGAGTGGCATTCATCCATCCGACTAACCCACCCATCCACCCATCCACCCATCCATCCATCGACTAACCCATCCATCCGACTAACTCATCCATCCATCCATCCATCCATCCATCCATCCATCCATCCATCCATCCATCCATCCATCGACGAACCCATCCATTCATCCATCCATCCATCCATCCATCCATCTGACTAACACACCCACACACCCCACCACCCACCCCACCAACCAACCAACCACCCCACCAACCAACCAACCAACCAACCAACCAACCAACCACCCCACCAGCCTGGTGATTTCCTACTTTTTAAATTTTTAATAACTGTCAAGATTTCTTGTTGTGTGATTTCTTCATTTAAAATTGCTAAATCTTGTTTCTTAATTTTGTTCACAATAGCTTCTTCAAATTGTTTCTCTTCATTTACTTTAAATAACTTACTATAAAAATCTTCAAAGATCTCCCTTATTTGTTTGTCTTTAAACACCTTACTTCCCGTTTCATTTTTCATGCACCCTATCTTTTGTTTTTCCTTTCTTTTCTTCAAATAGTTTGCCAATCTTTTCATCGAGTTTATATTTATTCTCTGATACTCATTCCTCACCAATAAATCTTTTTTCCACAAAAACAAATTATCTAACTCTTGCAGCTCCTCTTTCACCCTATTCAACTGTTCCTGTATTTGTCTTTCAAACTTCACCTGTAATCTTCTTTGTAATTCAACTATCTCCTTTAGTTTTTGTTCCCTTTTAAAATTCACCTTTCTTCTAAAATGAATTTCTTTAGAAATACATATTCCCCTGATTACTGCCTTTGCAGCATCCCAAATTATATCTTCCTCCGCAGATCCTTTATTTTCTTTAAAATATTTTTGTATCCCTCTTATTAAATCCTCTTTATCCTTTTGTTGCAAAAATATCCTAGAGTTAAACCTCCACCTTCTAACTTTCTGTTCCTCCTCCAAACCAATCTCAACAAGTAATGGTGCGTGATCTGAAATCCATATAGCTCCTGTTTCCACACTATTAACTTCCATATCGTTAGTTTCTTTCACTAAGATATGATCAATACAGGAAAACTTTTTATACCTTTTTGAGTAAAAGGTAGGATGCTTTTCATCCTGCAGGAGACTAAATACCTCTTTAAGTTTCCATTTTTTTAAGTTTAATTTCTTATTTTCCCTAATATCATTATTCAAATCCCCTGCAATTAACAAGTCTCCTTCATAAAATGACTGCAATCTTTGAAAGGTTCGGTTCAAAAATAGGGTTTGTCCTTTGTTAGGTGCATAAATACATGCCAAAGTATACTTCTTTCCATTCATCCTGAATTTCACAAAAATAAATCTTCCATCTCTATCTTTACATTGTTCCAAAACATCTATATTCATTCTAGAGTGCAAGAGAATGGCCACACCCCTTGCTTTGTTTGTTCCCCTTGACTCTATCTGCAAACTCCAGTCAGTAGACTTCATCAAAGTTAGGAATAACTATGCCACTTTGAACCCCTAAAGAAGCCAACATATCAAGATTTACCTCCTTGGTCTTTTCCTGCCAGCTTGTTCATAAGGTAAGACTTGCCGGTCCGGTATAGTCCCACAATGGCCACCACCACCACCGGCTGCTGGATCTTCCGAAGGATCTCCAGGGCTTCCGGGTTGATCCGTAGCTTCTCTTTGGGACTGTTCTCTATCAGGCAGATGGGGGCTTCCATATCGTTCGCTTGAGCTGTGGTAGGGAAAGTCCGTGGATTCCAAGGAACCTGTCATGATTGAAAATCAAGGACTGGAAAGCGGGCGCTAGCAGGTTCTGGGATTAATAAGCAGTCACTAAACAGTTTCCTGAAGCCTGTATTGCCTATAAGATTCCTCTGGTCTTCATGTGTTGGGGGGAAAAATACAGAGGAAGAGAGTCAGGAATAGGAAAAATAATGGCAGACCCATCTACAAGACCAGTTTGGTTTGAAGAATAAAATGTGAAAAACTCCATCCCAAATACCTAAAACTGTCCTCAAACATAATTAATACAGTGGTGCCTCACTTGACGATGTTAATTCGTTCCAGCGAAATTGCTGTAGAGCGAAAACATCATCAAACGAAATAAAAAAGGCAATTGAAATGCATTAAAACCCGGTTAATGTGTTCCAATGGGCTGAAAACTCACTGTCCAGCGAAGATCCTCCATAGGGGCGGCCATTTTCCATGCCTATGCAGCGAGGAATCCGTCCCTAAGCACAGCAGGGGCCATTTTCTTCAGCTGGCTACCATTTTGAAACCCGACGATCAACCGATCATCGCTAAGTGAAATTCCCCCATTTAGACCATCGTTTTGCGATCGCAATTGCGATCGCAAAAACCTCATCGTAAAGCGATTTCCTCGCTAAGTAAGGCAATTATTAAGCGGGGCACGACTGTATTATGTTTAATTCTCATTGGTCGGCCAGTCTCTGTGACCAGTTTGGCTGTTCCTGAACGGAGCCCGTAACTGAGATGGGTGCGTGGGTTAACAGTTACAGATCCGCTCGAAAGACCACAGGAAGGACTCCAAAAATATCTTCGCACCTCTAACAGCCGATCATTAGAAATTACGGGGAATAAGAATGTGAAGCTACTTCCCTCACGTTCACATAGAGCCATCCATTTTCAGTTTATTTTCCCAGCTCTGAGCTTTTCTTCGTTACCTACCATGGGTTCCCACACAGAAGGGTGGGACGTTCTAGGAATCTCTTCCTTGGGAAGCTCCATCGTGGTTTCCAGAAAATCTTCAGAGTTCTCCTGTCAGGAGGAAAAGGCATGGGTTAGCCCCGAACCTCCCCATCTTCTACTAAGGCCATTCCAGGGTTTCCTCTCACAGGCAAGCCTCCTCCATGACCCGAAAGGACTTTTCTCACCATCCACAGTGATCGCTCAGGCTTAGCTCACTTGCTTTTATGCAAGACCAGGGGCTCAGCTATCCGGTGGACTAAAGTTATGGTGCACAGGTAAAGGGCAGAGGGCAAAGAGACCCAGCTGTGAATTAAGAGGTTTCCAGATCAAATCTCTCCTATGTCAGGCAGACATGGATGGCTTGCTGGTCCTCATGCCCATGACCGCCCATTCCATTATGGTGCAACCACAGGCGTGTAGAAGCACTACTTCCAGTCCGTAATTAGGACTTTTAATGTATTCTATACTGCTGGGATGCTATGACGCCCCCCCACACACACACACACACACTCCAAATAAAATGAATAGTCTACCAATGCAGATGCTGCTTGCAAGCCTCCACAGATAATATCCAGAAGAATGGGTTGATTCCAAGACAGGGCCTCCACAAACTGTTCCAGCTTCTCAGACAAAACTGAAAGACAGTAACAGAGAAAACTACAGCATTGCAATTTTTCAAGTAACGTTCCATTATTACCTCAGGGTGAAAGTTGGGTGTGCCAACTAACCAGAGAAAGGGACAGCTTGGCCTGCTCCTGTGCATTTAACAGAAGCCTGATTAGAGGAAATCAGCCAGTTTCTAAGCTGTGGAAATAACTGTTATTATGATGATTGATAGGTTCCCTTCCAGCTCTGCAGTTCTCTAAGATAATGGTGATGATCAGCCACTTCATTCCCTGCTATCCAGTTTTCTGCCTTCCTCCCTGATCAGAATCCTGTGGCCAGTAAGTATGCTCAGTCCACATGTGGCAATGATCCCCAACACACTTATTCCCCTGTAAAAATATTTCTGCAAAGCCAGGAAACCCAAATTCAGATCTTCATTTAGGTACCAGATAACTCACTACCCCAACACACTTATTCCCCTGTAAAAATACTTCTGCAAAGCCAGATTCAAATCTTCATTTAGGTACCAGATAATTCACTGGAAAATACTCTCTGCCTGACCTACCTCTGAGGGTTGTTGTACTGATAAAGTAGGGAAGAAGGAAGCTACATATGCCACCTTGAGGTCATTGTAGGAAAGACGGGAGAGTAACAGAACTAATACATAATTAACAAATTGCCCCGAAAGAGATCTCGTCCAAATGCATGTTCCCCACTACTCTGAATTTCCCAATGCACTCTTCTCTTTGATATGCATATGTTCTAAAGGGGATTTGTGAAGCTAAGTAGGAAGAGAATATAATGAGGAAAAGCTCAGAGGAGGGAATCAGATCCACCTCCATCTTTCTCCAGCAAGGCAGTGAAGAAGATCAAAGACAGCAATACATCTTGAGCTGACCCTAAATATAAAAGCAACCCTGACATTAGCCAGAGGAAGGCGGCCACCTCAGGATACAGGTACTGGGGGAGGACAGAACAACAACGGGAAGGCAATAACGTTAAGCATGCCATACGGCTTGTCCTGGTCCTCTAAGACCTGGGTCCACAGATGTTCTTGGACTGTGACTCCCAGAAGCCCTTGCCAGCACAGCTAATTGTCAAGGCTTCTGGGAGTTGCAGTCGAAGAGTGTCTGAAAATTCAAGGTTGGGATTCATTGCTCTGTGCTACAACTCAAGGGTAGTGGCAGATACTATTTAGGTGTTGATATTGAATCAAGATTCTGCTACCAGTCCTGTTGGGACAAAGCGCCATCTTGCTGCTTGGCTCTGGCAGCAAAAGTACCTTGGACTCACCATGCTGGACTTGCAGAAAATTGTCCCACATATTCTTCCATGTTATTCCCCCCAAAAGAACAGCTTTATTTGCCAGACGAATGTGACCCTTACCTTCTCCGCTGATGTTTCTGTTCTGTGTTTTGCTCAGGATATAGCTTTTAAACGCCTTTAGCTGCCTCTGGAAAACGGGGTGCGGCTCGTCCAGTAAAGCCTCTTTTTCAATTTCATTCAAATGCGGGGAGTGGAAGCAGAAGGCCTTGTGCGAAGGGAACAGCTTCTGTACGCAGCTGCTTGGTGTGTCCTCTGAAGTGGAAACGTGTCAAAGCGAAAGCTACGTTCCACACATTGTCCACAAAAGGACCTAAACCACGTGCACCCCACTGCAAAGTGGTATCCCCATTTACACAGATTTCTAACCCTCATAATGGAGCATAAGCTAAGGCAGCATTTGCAAAAGACTTAGAAATGAGAACATTCCCACATCTGCCCCACCAACCACCTCTGTCCCTCCATCAGTAAATGCAGTCGTGCCCCGCTTAACGATTACCCCATATAACAACAAATCCAATTCATGGCAATGTTTTTGCGATCGCAATTGCGATTGCAAAACAATGTTTTAATGGGGTTTTTTTCGCTTTGCGACGATCGGTTCCCTGCTTCAGGAACCGATTCTTCACATTATGACAATCAAAACAGCTCATTGTTGGGTTTTCAAAATGGCCACCAGCTGCTCAAAATGGCTCCCTGCTGGTTTTAGAAAGTATTTTTCGCAAGACAGGCACTCGAAAATAGCTGCCCTATGGAGGATCTTTGCTGGATGGTTAGGTATTTCGTCCATTGGAATGCATTAACCGGTTTTTAATGCGTTTCAATTGGGTTTTTTATTTCGTTTGATGACGTTTTCGCTCTACAGCGATTTCACTGGAACGAATTAACGTCGTCAAGCAAGACACCACTGTAATCAGGAATTTGCACTGGTTCTAAATGCTTTTACATGCCTTCACTTCTCAACCTCTAACACCCTCCTTCGGCCTCACTCTGTCCTCTAACTTGCAATTTCCATCAACACTGGGACATCGGATCCACCGCAGGAGATGTCAAATGCATCCATTCGTGCAAACACACTCACACGAGTCTCTTTGCTCTGCACAGCAGATTCTCTGTAGAAATTCTTGAGCTGCTTCCACGTTAATTTCCCCCACCCCACAGGTGCAGAATGTCCGGTCACAAGAGGACCGACCTGAGCACCTGGTCCACCAGTGGTTAGTGAGAGAAGACTAGGCTATGGGAGCACACCTGCCAAGGAAGTGAGGAGAACATCCATCTCATGGTTACTGGCCTGGAGCATCTCTTCCCAAACGGTGTCCGAAGCCACATCGCGAAGGCACCAGACGAACGGAGGCAGGACAGTGTTGAGCAAGAAGCTGTTCTCCAAAGCGTAGTCTTCCAGGACCTGCACCTTATTATCTAGCTCTGCCACATATCTACAGGAGACGTCTGTAAAGGAAATAAGGCAGCTGCTTTCTAGAAGGCTGGGCCTTTCCAGCATCCATGAAAGAACTCTGAATGAGGATTATTCCTCAAAATAGCCCTACAGATACAGTGGTGCCTCACTTAATGATTACCTTGTTAAACGATGAAACTGCTTGACGATGAGGTTTTTGCGATCGCAATAGCGATCGCAAAATGATGTTTAGATAGGGAAAATTCGCTTAACGTTGCTTCGGGAACCAATTTTTCGCTACAGGATGATTCTAAAACAGCTGATCGGCAGCTCTAAAATGGCTGCCCACTGTGCAAAATGGCTCCCCGCTGTTTTTCTGGACAGATTCCCCGCTTTACAGGCACCGAAAATGGTCGCCTTATGGAGGATCTTCGCTGGACGCTAAGGTATTTAGCCCATTGGAATGCATTGAACCGGTTTTCAATGCATTTCAATAGGCTTTTTCGTTTCACTTGATGAGGATTTCACTTAACAGAGATTTCAACGGAACGAATTATCCTCATCAAGCGAGGCACCTCTGTAATTACAGGTGATGGATGCGTAAAGAATATGGTCGCCTGCAAGTGCAACTCAGTAGCTGCACTCAGAAGGATACGCCAGCTTGTCGAGCTCCTTCTGAGGGTCTTCATCCCCTTTGGTATTGTATATGAAAAGGTCACAGAGCAATACATTTAAGCAGAAGAGCCTGGAAAAAAACTCATTTTCTTCCTGCAACGACAACAGAAAAACGATCAGATGTGAAAGACAGAAGTCACAGGTCACTAAGAGTGGTGGCCCCCCTTTTCAAACAGCCCCCGTCGCTGTGCCTTTAATAGCGCTTGAAGGGCAGATATTAGCGTATGAACATACCAGTCTCCATGATATAAAGATCCATGGACGTTTGAAGCCTAGTAGAACAGAACTAGGGATTTTAATGATTCCCAGTGTGGTGTAATGGATCGAGTGATGGATTAAGACTCTGGAGATCAGGTTCGAATCCCCACTTGGTCCTATTAGAACAGAACTAGGGATTTTAATGATCCCCAGTGTGGTGTAATGGATCGAGTGATGGATTAAGACTCTGGAAACTAGCCTTTGAATCTCCACTTGGCCATGAAAACTCACTAGAGTGAGTGGAACTGCTAAAACCACTCCTTAAATATTTCACCCAGAAATCCTTTTTAGGGTCAGTATAAGTCAGTTCCGACTTGATGGCACAGAACAGACACACAGGGATTGTAAATCCCCAGTCACAAAGCTTGTGAGGGGGCCTGAATAGGCAGCCACTCTCCCCTCGCAGCCTAGATAATTTCACTGACTTCTTGCAAGGAGAAAATTGTGCAAGGGTTCTTTCTGGATTTCCCCCTTTTAGAGTGTCAATATGGCCCAGACTCTAAAATTCTCTCTCTCTCTTTCTCTCTCTCTCTCTCTCTCTCTCTCACACACACACACACACTTACTTCTTCCATTTGCTCAGGAACGCCTTCTGTATCCAGCAGTAAGAGGTTTTCATTTGGCTTTGTTGGGTGAGGCAGGCGTTGCAGCCATATCCCTGGTGCGGAGCCGAATCCTGCAGACGGAGGGGATGCCAAAAATGAAGAGAGGTGGGACCTTCTTCTGAAGAGGTCAGAAAAATGCCCCAAAGAAAGCATCACACACTCACCTTTCTCCTGCCCCGCCAGCTGATCCAGGAGGAAGGATTTCCCGGTGCCTTTGGGCCCAAAGATGGCCACCACGTAGAGAGGGCCAGAAAGCTGCCTGAGCAAGGTCAACGCTTCTGGATTCACACGAAGACACGGATCCACCAGACATACCGGTTTTGACATCCTGGCTTGAAAAGACAGAATGAATAAGCGGGACAACGTTAAAAGGCCTGACAAGGTTCATCCGACAGCTGTGGTCCTTTGATTATTGTGATGATTTTAATCATTTTATTGTTTTAAATTCATTCTCAATTTGCTTTTCATTTGCTTTCAATGATGTTGGTCAGCCATTATGAACACTTTTTTTTCCAATGGAAAGCCAGACACTCTACCCTCACATCACTAAGGGTGTGATCCTGTGGGCACCTGGCTCTCATTTTAGATGACTTGTGCCACAGTTATAATACCAGTCAACGTTTTTTATAATTTTGTTTCTGACCGTGTTTCATTTTTTCTAGTCATCATCATCCTCATTCAATTGCAGGGCTGGAAGGCACCCTATGGACCAGGTGACTCCCCAGCTAAATACCTGAACCACTGAGCTATACTGATATGCTGCTGTAATTTTTCAGTCGCTGCCACCCTGGACTGTCTCTGCCTTTGATCTTCAGCCCTTTTCAGATGCTCCAAAACAAGGCAAGCCATCACCCAGCAATCCAACTGCATGTTTACTCGCAGGTAAGTCAATGTGATGATTAACCTTTTTTCCTCCCGCCTTTCCTCCGCCCGCTCTGGTTTTATAGGACTTGCTCTCTGCCATCCGTTTTTCAAGCTTAACTGTAGTTGCTTTTAATGCTTTCGTCCTTAATTTTCGTTTTTGCATTATATTTCTTCTAACCGCCCAGGATAGTGCCTGGGCACTAACAGGAGCGGGAGAAGGAAGGAAGGAAGGAAGGAAGGAAGGAAGGAAGGAAGGAAGGAAGGAAGGAAGGAAGGAAGGAAGGAATGTACTAGATAGAGAGACGGACTAGGACCCAAGAGCCTCGGGTTCGAATCCCCACTGGATCCTAGAAGTTCGCGGGAGACGGGGTGGAATTGCTAAAACCACTCCTTAAAAAATCATCCTCGCCTTAGGGCCACCCTTAAGTGACTTCCAGCTGGACGGCAGAACACCAAATTTTCTAACAAACTCGTGAAGTCCTGTCAACTCAGCCAGCTTCCAGCGGAGCCCCTAAGAAGCTCCCTACACAACAACAACAACAACAACAACAACAACAACAACAACAACAACACGCCACACTCCCCTTCGCTATCCCCACCCGACCCCCGTCTCTCTCTCTCTTTCCGTCCTCGCCCGGCGAGCCCGATTCCGCAACCCTCGGCCAACGGGGAGCGGAAAATTCTGCGTCCGCCAACCTGATTTCGAGGCGCCGATCCCGGGTGGGGGGTAACGGGGAAGGGGGACACGGACACCCACTCCCCAGCCGTAGCGAAGGCCGGCGAGCCCGGCTCGGCGAAAGGGCGGCTGCCGGCGCTCCCCGCCGCCCGCTTTCGCTTTCGCTTTCGCTTGTGGCTCCGCAACGCGGGAGGAGGCGCTGAAGGGGTTGTGTTTGTGTGTGTGTGTGTGTGTGTGAGAGAGAGAGAGAGAGAGAGATCGCCACTCCCGGTTGCCAAAAGCCACAGGGCTCCGTGGAGTTGCGAGGAGAAGAGTCGATCTCTTTTGAGATCAAAACTCTTGGGGAGGAAACAGGGAACACAGAATCGGGTCGGGGCTATGGGACCCCGTCTTGGGGGGGATATTTATTTATTTAAAATATTTTTACCCCACCTTTTCACCTTGAAAAGCACCCCAGGCGGCTTACAACGGGTGGTGTCTTTTTTTTTAATTTTCTGTCCAAAAAAAAAGGCAGCAAAAAAAAAAAAAGATAAAATACTGTGGCTCTCTAAAGACTTGATAGGTTTGTTTCTGCGTTTTTTGTATTTCAGTGTTTGTGGATCTTCAGAAATAAGAAGTGCAACTACTGTGCCCCTTGTACGTATCTCAGCAGTGATTGGCGTGATGACCAATGTTGACACAAATCATTGAGAAAAGTGACAGTGCTCATGTTAATTGCTCAAGATTGCAGGTTATAGTAGTAGGCATTGAGAAAAAAAAAAAGGCAGCGAAAAAAAAAAGATAAAATACCGTACTGTGGCTCTCTAAAGACTTGATAGGTTTGTTTCTGCGTTTTTTGTATTTCAGTGTTTGTGGATCTTCAGAAATAAGAAGTGCAACTACTGTTACCCCTGTACGTATCTCAGCGGTGGTTGATGACCAATGTTGACACAGATCATTGAGAAAAGTGACAGGGCTCGTGTTAATTACTAGAGATCGCAGGCTATAACCAGGGTGAGAAACTGAATGCTGTGTGGATTTAACTGTCACTGAAGACAAAACTAGTCTGTCCCCTGTCCAGCTCCCTGATTTTGGTGCTTTCGGGACTGCCTCTTTGCCTCGGCCTGCTGGATAAGGGTCTCTTCAAATTGGGAGAGGCCGTGATGCAGGCTATAACCAGGGTGATAAACTGAATGCTAGGTGGATTTAACTGTCCTGCTAGTGCTAAGAGTTGTTTCTGGGGCAGAGATCATAGTCTGTAAAGAGGGAGTCAGTTGGTTAGATTCATAACATATTACCCAAAGCTGAATTATTAAGAGATGCAATGCAGTAGGAAGCCTATTTAGGTCCTCAGAGATACAGTGAACTTGTTTACGTAGTCAACTGCCATAGAGTGATCAAAGAATGAAACATTTCATTACTTCATCTCTGTAAAGCAACTTGGAATTAGAGGTGTAGAAGGAAGTTTGTTCTGTCAGGTCTTTGTGGCTTCATCTCATTTTCTCCTTTGCAGTTCACAAATTCTAGACCCGGGTTCAAATCCCCATTCAGTGGAAACTCGCCGAGGGAGGGTGGCAATAATCACACCACTCTTTAAACATCTTCCTAACCTTGAACTCACTCTTGAGGTTGCTATAAGTCAGATTCGACTTAACAGCTAATAAGAGCAAGCTGCATTTCACCCAAATAAGCATTGAAAAAGGCAGTGTTTATTTACGTACTTGGGACAGACTAATGTTTTTATTTAGTTTGTTGCTACAACATTCGAGAATACATAATATCTTCAAAACAGATAGGGGTGGGATTCAAAATCACTGCTCAAAACATCCTGTAACTTCACTATAAAAGACACAAGAGATTGGTTTAAGTTCCTGCACCCATTTTGTGAGCTCAGATATGCTTTGTGGACCATTGTTAGTGTGGTGATATTGTAATCTGGGACAGAGGTTGTATCCGTATAGAAGCGTTCTTTTGTGGCAGCTTCTGGTTTTCCTGGAAAAGTCAGAAGGCTGGCACAAGATATTTTGCTGCCTGAGGTGAAGAGCAAGACACTGGCCTCCCATTCCAAGTCCAGAAGTGAACTGGACGGTCAGACAATTCTTCCTTTGATACTAGTGAAGAGACACGCCTCAGAGCAGTGCATCACATCAAGGCCACAGGACAGGTCACGTGGCACACACAAACTCTGCTTCTCAACAGAGAGGACTGGTTGGGGGACTCCGAAGGAGACGCTGTCCACCTCTTACCTGACACGTGGGCAACTGCCTCAGCCTGCCTAAGGATAGGGCTGGCCCTGCAAAGTTGGTGCCACCTTAGTTGAGGTAATGTACACAGAATGCAACTACTCAATGATAGGCTGGAAAAACATCCTTTTCACAAGTACACTTTCAAAGTTTTTTTTTAATGAAGGAAAACAAAGGAACAACCCAAAGCAATTAGTTATAATTACTCTTAGTATCTGTAACAGAGCTTGGAAAAGGTGCAACGAAGGGAAAAGCAGTATGTTGAATATTCTTCATTTTCTCTCTCAGTCATTCTGCTTTCATTTTTACTTTATTTCACCTCTACACAAAGCTTTCCATGATTGGTTTTTCTTATTGTGTGATGCCTACAGTAGGGCTGGCTGGCATGAAGATGATAGGACATGCCAGATGAGCCGAGAAGGTCTTCTCAAAGACCAGTTTTATAGGTGGCTCAGCTCCAGATGCTAAACAGGCTTGTGATATTTACTGCACGTTTGCTTTCCATCATCTTCTGCTGCTCCTCCAGTAGCAACTCCCATTCTTTCTCAGCCTTTTTCATAAACTCCTGATGGTTCATCTCGTAGCTCCGTTTCCGATCTTCCATCTTCTGTTGCTGCTCAGCCATCTGCTGCTTCTGGAGCTCTCGCTCTCGTTCTGCTGCCTCAGCCTTCGCCTTGGCCTCTGTTCCCACCCCAGCCCAGAAAGGAAGAAGCTCAGAAGGTGTTGTACAGAAATACAAAATACTGTTGGAACACAATTTCTAGATCAGTTTAAGGAAATCTAGGAGTTTAAAAGGCCAGGATTACTCCTTCAGGTTGCTTAACACTACATAACTGGAGTGTTACATCTGCAGAGCATCCTTTACAATTACCTTTCTTGTTTGGCAACCTATTTCTAATCTTACTTTGGACACAACATTGTACAGCTCTTTACAGAACAAACCATCCCATAACTATCTATCCATTAAAATACTGCCCTTCTGCTCTGCCACTGTCCTGCCCATCCCCCCTTGAAAACTGGACCCATTCAAAAAGAATATGCTCACAGTACATGAAAAGTACCTTGTAAACATGCCCACATTCATGATTCCCTGCCTTGTAAGGAATGAGGGAAGACAAGTGTAGCATTTAAAGAAGGAGAAGAAAAGAAAGTCGGAAGGAATTCAGAAGGAAAAAAAACCACGTGTGGGGAAAATAACCTGAGATCTCTGAGACTCTTCCCATCCTGCTTATAACTTTTTTGAACTGTTACCGTCTGGCAGAAGATATAGAACAATTAAGACTCGGACCACACGTTTTCTGAATAGTTTTTATCCCAGAGCTATAATTGCAATTAATAATGAGCTTAAAGACCACCAGTAGTGAATAATTAGTTGGACTGTGTTACTTGGCCTGCGGTGTAGATGTTTGTATTTTTAGTGGGGGACTTTTAGTGGGTGGGGAGTGTTTGGGATTATCATTATCATTATCATTATTATTATTATTATTACAATATTTTTTAGCCGCACCATTACCAGTTTTAATTACAATTACTGATGGAGGTGTAGAAAAAGTTTGTACTGCTAGTTCTTTGTCCTGTCATCTCATTTCCTCTTTTGCAGTTCACTCATTCTCCCTTTCTATACTTTCCTCAAGTATCTATCACAGATTAAGAGTCTGCAATCAGGGGCTAGAGAAGCAAATTTGAGTTCTGCCAGAGAACAAAGTGGTTTAGCCTCATGTCCCACCCTATTCATGGGCAACAGAGTGCAAATTCAGCTAAGATTCACTGGCACCCAAAGTAAAAAATGCTGTTTTCACCTCTTAACCCCAGCACTTTGGAAAAAACAGTAGCAAGCAAACAGACAAATACTGTAAATACTAATATGGCATTCAATTATTCCTCAGATCTGCTGTCCAAGGTAGCCCTTGCTCTGCCTAATGATAAAGGTGGCCCTTCCAGAGAGCTTTATGTGGTTTGCGAGCTCTGTATTAATGTGTGCTGCCTTTGCACCACCCGCTGTACCATTATTTTTTCTGGACATAGGCTTTTGCACATTTTCTTCAGTGTTGCAGGTGACCACAGAAGCCAACCTGATGGTCTCCCTCGGAAACGGTAGATTATATAATAATAAGAAGAAGAACAAAAGATTTCTCCTTAAGCAGCCCCAAAACAGGGGGCAAATTCTTGAAACATGACGCCCAGTTATTCATCACTGGCCTTCTTTTTCTCTGCCTATTGGATCTTCTGATTGCCATGATGCTCCATTCGACTCCATTCTGGCTGATGGGTAGCTTGCTTCGCTCATCCAGTGGAGCCTCTGTTCCTGAGATAAAAAAGATCAGGCCATCAGGAAGAGTTCCTTTCTTCAAAAATGGCAGGATTTCTCCCGATTATACCTTTTCTGGACACATTGAAGCATGGCATTTCTGCTGACATTCTAGCAGTGCAACTCTGCCTTCCTCCCTTCGTCTCATTTAGGGCCCCTCAGGTGTTCAAAAGCTCGACTCAAGCCTGATTTAAATAGGAGGGGACAGGGTGGCAAAAAGGATGGTAAAAAACCGCCCAAGATAGGTGGGATATAAATAAAATAAATAAAAAAATAAATACCATTGGCTGAAGAGAGTAAGTAACTTTTCTAGTGTTCCCTTTTATGAAAACAAAAACAAAACATTCACAACGTAAGCTGCTGTGAACACCATTTTTTTGGAGCAGAAGCAGCAGGATACTAAACAGGTGAATAAATTCTTTGGAAGGAGAAAAATTAGCACAGGAAAAACAGTGGTGTTTGCACAAGGCTACACAAATCTTTTCAGAAGTGACCCCATGGAGTTCAGTGCAACATAGGTACTGAATTGCAGCTTAGAACAGGGAAGGGATTGCCCGTTATATCACAAAGCAAGAAAACGCTTTCGATAACTGATAAATTTGCCAGAAAGCAGGCAAGGCAAAAGTAGTTCAAGTGAGTTACCCTATGAATTATGTAATTCAGTGTGGTAGTAACAGATTTTCCTGTGAACCCGATATGTTTTGCCATTTCTACTCATAATATTAGTTACGGCAAATAATGTTTATAGACGTTATAAAAATTACTGATCCCATAAGTTTGGAAAAATTTATCTTCATAATTCCATAAAAGTAGGTTTTCCTTTTTAGTGAATTGATATTGATATTCACTAAATAGCACAATCCTACACAAATTCCTGTTTTATTGTTCATAAAATATTATGTTACTATAGTTATTCATCGCTACTGATATTATTCATCAGTAACCATGAATAACTATGATTATGAACAGATTTGTGTAGGATTGTGTCTAAACTGTATAATAGTGTTACAATGGGACAGTCAAGTTATTTAAACATTTACAGATGAGAAGAGCAGTGTAGTGGGGAAATCCGACATCATCTACTGACAGCATTGGAAGAGGCGTAATAGAATCCCAAAACTGTTTTGCGTGGCTTTTATCTTTCTAAAAGTTTATTTAAGTCTGCCCCAAACTGCCCCCGCCGCGCTATGGTACAGTCTACTCCCGATTTCCCTACACTGCTTTCCGTACCCCCCCCCGGGACTAATTTTCAGAGTGGTTCAGCCCAACTGTAGCTTGCGGCCTCCCTCGCCACTCTCCGCTCGTGCCCGAAGCGCTCTCGTTGCTCATTGGCTCTTTCTCACGGACAGCAGGAAAAGTGACAGTTTAGCCGACAGGATCAAAAGAAATAGAGGCAGTGAGAGGCGGGCACGAGGAGGCCATTTTGATTGGTCAGCGAGGAAGGGAACAATAAAAGGCTACTGTGTATTGACTCCCAATCCTAGTGAAAAATGTTACGAGTGTTGTTATTGGTGGTTCGGCGTCGAAGAGGGGGAGATAGATAATGACCGTTTGACAGGCATGAGTATTGCCTGTATATATAGGGTTCTGGTTTTTTAGAATATTTCTTTTTGTCCTGCTTGTCTACAAGGGAAGGAATATTTGACAGTTTAAAAAGTAAACGATAATATATTATTGCCTCATAATCTGTGAGAGTGGCTTTAGTAACATCCAGAAAAGACCATAAATCTGCATTCCCTCACATTATTTTTGTTATATTCTTGAAGGATTACTGTGGTCAAGAAAGCAACGGGTTCAGTCCACTATAACAATCTCAGTGTTTCTTTTTTTTTTAAGGAAAAGCGGGGGAAGGATAGAAAATTTTAAAAAGAAAAATGATGGTATCACACAAGCAGGATTAGTATTGCAGTGACACTGCCATAGTAACCTGATGCACAGTTTTTTTCCTCAAAACAACAGGGCTTTGTATTCTGGTTTTATACACCTAATGTTGGGATATATCATCACATGAACACTGTACATATGCCTTTCCAACTGCCATTCCTTGTGGCAGCATGTCGCCTGATGCCAACCTGCCTTAAGGGAGTAACAATCATCTACATCAGTTCTCCAATAAATTTTCTCAGACATGTCCAAATACTAATGCCCTAAATCATGCAATGTAGGCCGTTGTCAACATTTTAAAAACTAGTAGATGAGTTTATGAATGGGACTACAACGGAATTTAAAATCTGTACAATTTTTATTAAGCTGCCAGCATCTATTGGCTTTGTCATGATGAGTCACTGATCACTGCAATGTAAACCTAATCCAAGATTCTGGTTTTATTAATATGTGCATAAGAACATAGTAGATGAGTTTATGAATGGGACTACAATGGAATTTATTAATATGTACATATGTTGCAGCAGCAACAACAAAAGATACTACTGCAATCCCTTGCAAGTATCTATTCCTTACATCTCCTAAAACGGGATATCCAGAAACATCTGGATTTTACAATCACTGGAGAAGGCTTTTCCATGACATAGTTATTGTCCCTACAGACTTTAGATAGGACATCATTTTTCCACCTGGAATTTTTCACCTTGATTGCAAGTCCAAATATACATCTGTGGAACTGAATTGATTGGAAGGATGTGATTTGAATGACTGAAATGTGTTTGTGTCAAACACTTCAGTTGAGATTTGGGAATTAATTTAAATGTCTATACTGAGGCCAAAATGCCAAAGGCAATTATGCCTCTGGCCTCACACAATTATTTGTTTCCATCACACAGTTATTTAGATCCCGCTGCATAATTTTGCTCCACCATTTGTATGCAGCCATTTGAAACAGGAATGATGCCGATTTCAAGGGTGTGTCCATACAGCTGGCTAGCTTTAAAGTCTGATTTTTAAACTAGCTGGCCAGTCAAAATCAACAATCAGAAGGAAAAAGAAGCATTGATAAAACACAAGAGGATTGCAAGTGGAAAACAACATTGTTTCGATCTTGTAATGTTCTGTGAATGGCAGGGCAATTCTACTGTATAATGAAAACCTTGTCTGAAAGCACATCAGATCTGGAAAGATAAGAAACTTTTTAGGTGCATGGTAGGACTAAGCCTACATTTGATGTGCCAGAGTAAACAACGTGGTAACACTGAGATAAGTTTGTATCTTTCCAAAAAATCTGTTCAGTATCTAGTTATCATGGGAAGTGGCTCTGCTTGGACTGAGGAAGATGTGATCCCTTCCTTAAGACAAACTCTTTTTCTTCCCTTCCAGGTCATGCATCATGGAGGATAATGAGGGCAATGAAATTACAGCCGCACCAAACACTCAGCACTGTCCCTCAGATTCCACCACAGATGACAGTAGCAACCAAGAAGATTATGCCTTCCCCGTGTTTGTACGCTCTCCGACTTGTGCCCGCTGCCGCAATCATGGCATCGAGGTCCCACTGAAAGGCCACAAAAACAGCTGCCAGTTCCAGGGCTGCCAGTGTGCGAAATGTATCCTTATTCTGTACGTTGGGAGGGAAAGCCATTTTAAAAAATTGTCTTTTAATAATGTAAACCACGGTTGTATCCTCATTGTTTTCAGCTTTAAATATTGTCTTTCACCATTGTAAGCCACCCTTGGGTCCTTTTCAAGGATAAAGGAGGGAATAAATAAATAAATGAGTTAATAAATAAATAAATAAATGGTGGGTCCTCCTGGTGCTGATGGTGTTGGTTGGGAGATGTATTGCAGGTAACATTGCATGGGTTATCAGTCGTTGTTGTTTAGTCATTTAGTCGTGTCCGACTCTTCGTGACCCCATGGACCAGAGCACGCCCGGCCCTCCTGTCTTCCGCTGCCTCCTAGAGTTGGGTCAGATTCATGTTGGTCACTTCGATGACCCTGTCCAGCCATCTTGTCCTCTGTCGTCCCCTTCTCCTCTTGTCTTCACACTTTCCCAGCAGCAGGGTCTTTTCCAGGGAGTCTTCTCTTCTCATGAGATGGCCAAAGTAGTGGAGCCTCAGCTTCAGGATCTGTCCTTCCAGTGAGCACTCGGGGTTGATTTCCTTCAGAATGGATCGGTTTGTTCTCCTTGCAGTCCAGGGGACTCTCAAGAGTTATCAGTAGGTGGCACTAGTCCTCCATGAATAAGAGTTTTGTATTAGTCTAAATGACGGGACGCAGTGGAAGACAGGACGGCTGGCATGCTCTGATCCATGGGGTCATGAAGAGTCCTACAGGACTTAACAACTAAACAACAAACAACAACAAATTAGTCTAAAGGATTACATGTATGTATGTATGTATGTATGTATGTAGGTAGGTAGGTAGGTAGGTAGGTACGTACGTACGTACGTACGTACGTACGTACGTACGTACGTACGTACGTACGTACGTACGTACGTACGTACGTACGTACGTACGTACGTACGTACGTACGTACGTACGTACGTACGTACGTACGTACGTACGTACGTACGTACGTACGTACGTACGTACGTACGTACGTACGTACGTACGTACGTACGTACGTACGTACGTACGTACGTACGTACGTATGTATGTAAAATATTTTTACCCCATCTTTCTCCTTAAAAAAGGAAACAAGGTGGCTAACATCATTTAAAGACAATATTTAAGGCTAAAAACAATAAGTATCCAAATACTAAAAAGGATCAAACAAATGCTGCTCTGAGAAATGATAAACAAAAGCAAAACTAAAAACACATTCAAAGCAGTAAGGCATAACAATCCATTTAAAAATCCCACTCAAGCATCAACATTTGAGTTTTGGATTTTGCTTGGGGTATACTAACTCCAAGCTCCATAATAACAAAGATGAAGGTATGTATGTCATCATGTTTTTCTTTCTAAAGAATCCCTCCACCATGGCCTAATTCCTTTTTGGGGCCCTAAGCCTAAGCAACAAGCAAGACATTTTATAGCCACAACAAGAGGCTACAGTTTTAACTGGAGAATCAGCAAGTTTCTGACCGCATAACATGTAGCTGAATAACGAAAAATGGGTAAAGCAGTTTTTGAGAGGGATGAGTCTGGGTGAGAACGGGTTGAGAATCCTTGCTAATGGTAGATTTATATTTGTTTCCTCTGTTTTTCTCTCTCTCTTTCTTTTAAAAAATTATTATTTTAATTGGTTCTTTCTCCAGACAGAGACGCCGTGTCATGGCTGCACAGGTAGCCCTACGCAGAAAGCAAGAGATGGAGCTGAGGAAACAGCTGGCCAGTGCTTCGCTGAGATTTCCGGACAGCTGCTCGGGAAACTCCCTCGATTTCGACAAACCACTGAAAGGGTATAAGCTATGCAGAGGAGGAACGGGTAAGCTTCTGAGAGAATTCTGTTGAATTGAAGCAATGGTTTATGAGATATTAATTTAAAAACTTATATAGCAATGGGCTGCCTATCTCATCAGTCTGAATTGGCTTCCAGCTCTCAGTTTGTTTAGAAGTACAGCCCACAGCATTAACAGACTACATCCTCTTATCAATTTAAAGCAGCGGCTCCCAACCTTTTTCGAGTCACAACCCCATTTTATAATATCCAAGAAACCTGTGCCCCGCACCATCACTTCACATGAAAAAGCCATTGTCGTGGTGCCCAGACATGGCAGTGCCTTCAAGGATGGCACTGCCACATCTGGGCACCATGACGTGCTCACCCTCCTACATCTCCTGCCACCACACACTTCAAAACTGTGGCAAGAATCAGGCTGGAGGAGGTTCAAGTTAGGCAGAAGAGAAGGCAAAGGAGTTTAAATGTGGGTCAAGTGATACCCAGGGAGGCAGCATCACCTTCGCGCAGAGAGGATCCCCCGTGGAAACTGGCACAAAACATTCCTTGTACCTGCTGCAGAAACTACAGCTACTGATGACTCACAGGCCTCTCTTCTTTTATTGTACAGAAAAGAAGGAGAATGAAGAACCCTTGAAAGATCCAGAGGATGGGTTCAGGGGGGTCTCAGGACTCCTTCGAAGACAAAGGCGGAGAGCCACAAGAAAGGTGACAATCCTGGACTCGTGTTCGAGGAGTCATCTTAACAATGTGTTGTGACATTTCTAGCCTCTATTTTACCCTTGAAAATACATGTTTTCCAAAGCAAAGTCAGTTCGATAGTAAGACAACCCTTAAAGAAAAATAGGTACAAAATGGGTAATAAATTAGAGTAGTTGTCTCTGAATGGGGAAAGCCAACATCCTATCCCTTTACAACGTCAGAAAAATAGGTACAAAATGGGTAATAAATGAGAGTAGTTGTCTCTGAGTGGGGAAAGCCAACATCCCATCCCTTTATGAAAGAAACGCGCCTGTATCTTTAATACTGAAAAATGAGTATGGCATTGCATACAAATCTTGTTTGTATGGAATACGGAACCCTTATAATTAGGCCTAGATCCTAGATTCAGTCTCCATCATATAATCTTCACAGCCTTCAGCAGAAAAGGGGAATCAATTTAGCTGCTTGTTCCTCCTTGGCCTAACAGGAAACCGAGCCTAACTTGTGATAACTCCATTTGAGCTTCCTGCCCCCTTCCTCTCAGAATTTAGGAGAAAGGACTGTATCAGTGGCTGTAAGCCTATCAGCAGCTATTAGGAATTTCCAAAGATCTTATAAATATTTCTGAAAGTCTCTTTGTTACAAAGGATCATTGAAATTGTAAATAAAAGATAGAATTTGGCACGGATACTAATGAGTTCCCAACTTTAAAAACTGGGCAGGTTATATCTTGAAGTCAGTTTACCCAGAGCCCCTTCCATTTGTTTACTTGTCCTGAAAGTTTTCCAAAATGGTAAGAGCTAGAAACTTGACGTTCAACATGAATGCTACTGATTTCCTTTCATAGAGCCCACACATGCCCAGCATCTGCTCAGCTATCCATGCACCCTTGATACTGTTACTGTGTCCCAATGTCCACATAGCACAGAGCTGAAACTGGTGCCAACTAAGTGGGACAATAAGGGTTTTTTTAAAAATGTGCTTTTCGTCATGTGGGATTATACCACCCCTGGGTGCTGGTGTATTTTTACTCTGATTTGTTTCAGTGCACTCTGCTTGTATGAACCCTAGTACTTTATAGTTCTATTCTGATCCACACATTTTGTGGGTGTGCATCACTAGAGGACATTTCCTTTTGGGCGTGTTTCTACTCTGAAATTTCCAGCCCTCTGCATCCTGATGCCATGGGGATATCAGGTATTTCTGCCATCCGCTTTTTATTCAATTTTAATTTTAGAATATTATAACTTTTGCACTAAATACAAGAAGACTGTGAAAAGAAAACATTCCGTATTCATAGATTTCCCCCAACACAAGCATTATCCAGCTGAATTAGAAACAAATCATTTGGTTATTTTTTGTGACATAAAAATATAGCATTGCATCTGATGTTTGTTTGCATTATTCTGGTTACAATGTTTCTTTTAAAAGATATATATACTGTGCATTGATTTTTAGGAAAGCTCCTGGCTGCCTCTGTCTCACTGCTCTAAGGTGACAGAGCCACCCTGGACCTGTGGAGTACCTCAACCAGCCCATCCTGCGTGGTTCCCCCCACCACTTCCTATGCCCCCGGCATCTTTTTGTCCCTTCTTGCCTCAAGAACATTCCTATCAGATTTCAGGAACAAGGGGTAGGTAACCTGTTTCTCTATTAATATTGCCTATGTATTTATATGGCTTAAGATTTCAGACTTGGAACTGGAAAGACTAGTGATCAACTTGAAATTTTACCTTAATACATTGGGTGGTTTTCGAAAATACAGTACATGCTACTTCTTTCCATTTTCCATCAGTAACTGGGCAAGTCATTTAACAGGACTGTTATTAGGACAAGTGTATTAGGACAAACAAAATTATTATTGCAAAGTACTTTGCATCATTGTAAGGTATACAAAATTACAATACAAATGCAGGAACAGGTGATATCTTTGTTGGACCACTAAAGGAATAACCAGTAACTGGGCAAGTCATTTAACAGGACTATTATTAGGACAAGCGTATTAGGACAAACAAAATTATTATTACTTTGCATCATTATAAGGTATCCAAAATTACAATACAAATGCAGGAACAGGTGATACCTTTGTTGGACCACTAAAGGAATAAAACAAACAAACAAACGAACAGCGAGCTTTCAATAATAATGCATTTTCTTCAGATGTGCACCAAGTTCTTGTGAGTGGTTCTTGGTGCTCAATCTGAAAAAGATGCATTATTATAGAAAGCTTGTTTTTTGTTTTTGTTTTATTTCTTATGTGGTCCAATAAAGGTATCACTTGGTGCTGCATTTGTATTGTTCTGAGGATCTCATGGCCTTTTCCTGACTTTTTTCAGAGAAATGACAATGTCATTCAAACCTAGTAGGTTGATAAATGCTTTGAGTTCTCTTAGAAATGGTTTGACTTTAGAAAAGGAAGTTTATTCAGTATGAGACCCATCCTGGAAACATGTTTTAAATTGCTTATTTTATAGCTATAATTAATTAATGTTGTGCATTTTAGTTGCATGTCACTTACTGAAAAAGATGCATTATTATAGAAAGCTTGCTTTTTGTTGTTTTTGTTTTATTTCTTATGTGGTCCAATAAATGTATTGCCTGATGCTGCGTTTGTATTGTTCTGGGGATCACATGGTAGTTTATTCAGTATGAGAACCATCCTGGAAACATGTTTTAAACTGCTTATTTTATAGCTATAACTAATTAATGTTGTGCATTTTACTTCCATGTCACTTATGCAAATGCAATGGTTATTAAGGATGCTCTACTGCACGTATTAGTCATAGTTGTGTTGTATAACAGAAACAATTGTGCAGGAACAGAATAGAATCCATTTAGACCTGAGCACTTCTAAAACTAGCCCTGAAGAGATGCTACCCCAGAATTATTGTCCAGAATCTTATACTGTAACCACCTTGTTGGCCTCTGTGCTGCTCCAGATCTGATTGCAACAGCTTGTTTCCTTTTCCTGCAGGTTTTGATGGCAGTGATGCTTTATACATGTCAGACAGTTATATGGCTGCACCAGGACACATGTATCACCAGACCACTGGTACATCTTGGCACCTACCAACCCCTGCTGACCTGCCCAGGTACAAGGGTCATCTCTGGCCCACCTGCCTAGGGAATATTTAAAGCTACATGAAAGAGTGGATTGAGACAAGGAGCTTTTAAAATACTGTAGGAATGTTTAGATTAACATGTACTGTAAACTAGATTAACCTGGATCAGTAGAAGTAGCCCCATACATACAATAAATAAATTTTCATGAAAATATGATGCTATCACACTTCAGAAAACAAAACCCTAGAATTTTTTGTTAAAAAATAAAATTTGATGCTATCTTGTTATCAGTTTGCAATACAAAATAGGTTTTGCTATAGAAATGTATTGAATGTTCCTTAGATGAGGTGATTTATCAACTTCTCTTTATCAAAACGAATGCTTTAGCTTTGGAGGTACCCAGAATTCGTCACCTGAAAGAACCCAGTGTGAGCACAGAGATACAGATATGAACAAGATATAGATGAAATAACAAAAGAATAACTTTCTGAAGGATAGTTTTAGAAGAGGTAGCCGTGTTAGTCTGTGCTAGCATGTCAGGACAAAAGAAGACAAAATTGAAAATAAAGGAGACAATAACTTTGTGACACCTTAAAGACTAACTGCTATATTTTAATGTGAGCTTTCGTGAACAAGTTCACTTCTTGAAGGATAATTAGCAGAATAAAAGGGAAGTAAATGCCATTATTCATTATTAAGAATGCTGTACTTGTTCTTTGAACAATAGTTCCATGTAATTCCAGCTCCTGTATGCTTAAGAACAGAAAGTGCCCCTGAGGAAGTTACTCCCTATTTAATTGTGTGTCATTTATTCTATGATATCAGTAGCGCAACAGCTGTCTGTACTAACAAACATTTATTGCAAACAACACATCGTGGGTGGAATTGTAAAGTGAGTCTCGGAGAATGGCAGTGGCAGTGGCCCCTTCTCCCCCTCAGCAGCCTGTGGTTTAGCCAGGACAGAAGGCGAGTGGGAGACAAACAGCCACCGAGGAACTTTATAAACAAGTGTGACATACTCTCTCTGTTTTCTGCTTTTTCTGCTGCTGCTCTAGCCGCGTGGCTCTGAACCCCCTGAGTGGCAACATGGATCTGAACAAACGTCCAAAAGCTGCACCATTGGGAGGCCAGGTATCTGGATCTTTCCCTTTACACAGAATTAGCCCATTAACTGAAATTGCTTTCCTGCTTCCTTCTCCAAAGAATGGAATACCCATTTCCATGACAGTGTAAGAAGGTAGTGGCTATCAATTCTGGGAGTATACAATCCTCCATGTGTGCTTAGAAAGACAGCAAAAACACACACAGAAATGTGACGAGGATTTTCTCTTGGTTGCCACCATTTCTAGTGGCCAGTCCCAGTCACAATAACTTGTCATAGAAAAATGGAGAATATCAGTGGTGCTTTGGATTTAATAAGAACTACACTGATGCTTTCCATAGAAGCATCTCATGACTTATTCAATAAGTGTTTGTTTCACAGCCACCCACAGATAGAAACAACCAAACATGCTCTGTTGTGGTGTACATATTATAAGGACGTACAGTATGTCCTTATAATATGTCCTTGTTTCCCCTTTGACTGGCCGATTTCCCAGCTGTAGAGCAACAATGTATGCATGTGCTGCTGTCTGAGTCCAATCCTATTTTGTTTGTTTGTTTGTTTATATCCCACCTATCTAGTCAATTATGACCACTCTAGGCGGCTTACATCATAAAATACATGAATACATGTATATATATATCTCTAGGCGGCTTACATCATAAAATACATGTATATATATAAAAGAGAATTATTGTTTACACATAGTGTTGCCAAATTCTTTACTTATGCTAGGGGCATTAGAAAAAGGATCCTAAAAGTGGATGGGCTTCTGTAGTCAGAGCATGGTCTGCTATACATTTCGGAATTGCTTCAGGGGAGATGTTTTGAGTGTTTTGTTGTCTACCCCAGAACCGACAATTGCTTTGCGTTCGATCCCAATATTTTGGTATATTTATATATTTTTGGATGTTTTATTTGTGGCTGGTCTTTTGACCGTAATAAAGTTTTGTCTATCTGCCATCCACATCTTCCCTGCCTGATCCCTATATGCCCTTTGGCAAAAACATTTCATTTTTGAAGTGCCATAACCCCATCTGGAAGTGATGTACTTCTGACAAAAAATACATCATCTCCCCATATGACATAAAAGTCCTTTTCTTCCTTGGTAGCTCATTAAACTCCTAGAATGGGCAAACCTGGGAGCAGGAAAGTTAGGGGACTTTCATTTGAGTCATTAAAGTATAGAGCTGTCATTTGATATGGGCAAACTGATTAAGTGATTGGTTCCTGGTCAGCATTTCACTCTTTGAAAGCAGCTGGCATTGCATCTCCATCCCACTCAAAGTCACATCTGTTGAAAGATCCAGCATGGCAAGATCTCAGCTAGCAAATCAAACTGGGGCTAGACTCAACTGGTGGGTCTTAGTATAAGCCTGCAGTCCTTATGTATTTATTTCCAAGGCATTCAGCACTATTACATTAGGATAAGAGAATATGATACAGCACTTACCCAGTAAGTCATAAAGAATGCTAAGCATCCCAGTTCCTAGTTGGTACAATCTGTTATGTGGTGTTTGTTATGCCTCTTAATGTTTGTTTGATGAGTCACAAGGTTAACTGTCTCTTCCCTGTCTTTCAGCCAACCTCCTCTGCCCACGTTTCAGTCTGGCCCACCAGGGGATTTATTGTCTCACCTCTTTCCGAACAACAGCTCCAGAAAGAGGCTGCGGAAGCCCTCATGGTGCTGAGAAATGCCTCCCAGCCAGGGTCCCTTCTTGCCACCTCAGGGGTCCTGAGCCCAGCCAGCTCTGCACCCGCCCTGATGGCCTCGGCAGCTTTCTCTCATCCCTCAGAAGCAGCTCACCGCCCTGGGATGTCCCCTCCTCCCCAACAGCATCCTCCGTACTTCATGCCTTCATATGGCATGCATGCTGTCAAGGCCTCCCGGGACCTAGCTTTGAAAGGAAGTTATGTCCCTCCAGAACCTGTTGGTGTGAGCGGAGAACCGGGGCTCCTCCTACCGTTACTCCATGGCAGCAGTCTTCCCCAGCAGTACAAAAATGTCCGCCTGTTCTCAGTTACGCCGTCCCGGAGCCCCCAGATCGCCACTTCCGTAATGGTCTCTAGTATCCAAACCGTCAGACCTAGCTGCAGAGGGTCTTCCGGTGTCAGCCACCACCATTTCGGTCCAGGCTTGGCAGCCTATCAGACTTCATCAGGCTCCATACCAAAGAATCTATGCATGCCACAAACTATAGATGCTGGTTGGATTTCAGAGACCAATGTTGAGGTCCTTGCTCCACCCGGCTCATCTTATGCTAGCCCTCAACTGCTGCCCTTCTGTGCCCCGCCAATGGATGTCACTGTCAGGCATGTGCCCGTACAAAAGGTCATTCCGTGCAGCCCCGTCGGGATGGAACTGCACATGCTCCCTAGGTTGTCCCTGCTGAATCCCAGCCCCTACCTTATAGCTCAACAAGCTTTCCCAGACCCCGTGTTTCTCGCAGGGCACAAATCACAGCATTGCCATCAGCAACAGCACAGCCAAGATGGAAGGAATTTTAGTAAGGAGGAGGAAGGAGGAAAGGAGGAGCATGGGAGCAGCCTCAATGTGCCCAGGAGCGAGGATCCAGAAGGTAAACTAGACTGCAAGCAGTGAAGGAATGTTAGTTATTTTTAAGCACTCATTGTTCCAAAGACTAATTCTGTGGCCTGTGTCTAGAAAGGGATTACAGATAGGTTGCATTTTGTCTCTCATACACACGTAACAAGTTTAAAGAACTGAGATAGGTAACTGATACTGTACTGGTGTTTTCATTATTGATGTCTCATCTATAGAGCAAAATTACTGGTAACCTTTGCTAGGCACCATCTTTACAGCCTTTTACTGCTGTCTGAAGGCCTTTTTATTAACCCAGGCCCTTTCAGTAATGTGTGTCTCATAATCTGGAACAGGCAACTGCAAATACTCATTTTAATTGTGTTTCAAACTTAAAAAGTTTTTATTGTTCATGTAGTATGTTTTGATGTGGAGCTTGGAAATATTATTTTTGGACTGCAGTTCCCAGAATCCTCCGCCTGCCTTTTTTATTGCCATGCTCTCCCTGGAGATGCTGGGAGCTCTGTTTCAAAAAAGTGATGTTTCAAAGTGTTGAATTAATGTTGCATTTGTTTTATTTGCTGCTCAGACAGTTTAAGGGTTGGCAAATAGATAAATACAGAGTGAGCCAATTAAATGGACTGGGTAGGCTCAGGAAAAATATTATAGCAACAGAGTTGATAAACATTTAAAACGGTGGTTAGAAAAATGTATGCAAGTGCATGAATCTGTTAGGGGCGATAATAATGTTGGCTTACTTCTCAAGGATTATAGGACTACTATATGCAAATATATGCACTTGAGCTCTTAGGAGAAAGCTCCATGTACACAAGAAGTCTTCAAGGCTTTGGAAACGTCACTCCGTGAAGCAGCCCTGCAATCTGTAGCAGTTCAAATGTTCTGAGATTTTCATAAAATATTAACCCTGGTTAGAGACAGACATCAGGTATAAAGGGTGATTTTTGTTCAATTTAAGAACCTTGTTCTTAAAATCATTCTGAACCTCTTTCTGTTGAGGCATTCCTGAGTTAGCAAAATCAACAGCATATGACTGAGTTTTTTTTTAAAAAAAGGCAGGTCAAGTCTTCCTAGTCATCAATTTAATTTTAGTGATTGGGGAGGGAACGGACTCTGTACTGGTGCTTTGTCCTAAACTGCCCTACCTGATAGTGTCCGTGCCTCTGGAGAGGCAAGTTCTCTGAGTATCTTAACTCAGCTTTCTTAGAATTATTTGCTTAAACATCTCCATTTCTGTTATCTGAGGGTCTTAGAGGAAGGTCATGCAGGTTCACTCCTCCTGAGCCAGACTGCAATTTTCAAAGTGCCTTTTATTGCTTCTTAGTCACAATGAAGTCAATTTGAGGATCATAGGATTTGAGGATCACAGTTACGGTGAACTACAGACTACCTGATGAAGAACTGGGATGTCTGGGAGAAATAATCCAGAAAGGCTTGCTGCTCAGAAGCACTCCTGTGGCGTGCCATTGTAATATTTATAACGGCCCTAAGTTACCTGGGTTCACTTCAGATCAGGCAGAAGGCAGTGCAATTCCAGTGATGCCTTCTTCTGGTTGACCTGGTGAACCTAGAGCAACCACATGGTATTTACAAATGGCACTCTGCTGGAGGCCTGTCTGAACGGCTGTCACATGAGAACGGTGTGGCTGTTATGTGGGTACAGATAGAGGAGAGAAGTCTAACAGAGTTTCTCTGTTCTGTTTAGATTCTGCTGAAGGAGCGCCTGACTTCCTTCCATCCAAACAAATATGCAGCCCGCCTGACCAGCAAACCTCCCCAAATCTACAGCATCCAAACCATCCCCACCAGGCCAATACCTCCCCTTGCGTTTCTCTCAGCATTGGTCAGATGGGCTCCATCTCCTGCCCCAGCTTGACTCCTGAGAGTGGGAGGTAAGGAAGTTCTGTTAGAGAAGATACTAAAGATCCTTCCTTCTGGCCAAGGAACTTTCAAAAATGACCTATGACCAGGGACACAACCTTTGCGTTCTTTCCTTCTCGTCCATAGCGAGGTTATTGCAGAAGCTGTTGGCTTCCTTGTGGCAACACTTAACACATTCACTTCATTTCTAACTTGTTCCGTTCCAGACAAGAGGCAGAGTTTGTGAGAGAGATTTGAGCAAATGTTATGTTTTAAATAGCATGGTGTTAGTTTTTAACATATAGATTAAAAAGTTTTGTTGCTTCTTTAAAAAAATGGGATATTGAGATATGTTTACACCACTTTAAAATAAATAAATCATACTGAAATAATTCATGAATCAGAGATGGGTTTTAGGTCCCGTGAAGAAGAATTTGATCCATTTCCAAAGAGATTTGTGCTATTGATTTCATGACTCAGGGAGAAAAAAATGTATTTCATTCTCTGCACCACTGTTGGCTGCCAATAAAATGTTAAGAAGAACAGCAGTAGTCTGTTTGGGTTTTTATCCCAAGGCTGCATGTTTGAATGATGTGAAGAAACAAATGTTCATTTTGCGCTAAGTTGCTACTTAGCGCAACTTCAGGAAGGACTCACGGGTGTATGTGTTTAGAATAAACAAGACAAGCCTAGATCCTAACACAATCCACAGGGATCGTTGTAGAAGATGCAGCCATGTTAGTCTGTGTAAGCATTATAGGAAAAAACAAAACTATTAAAAAAAGTTGAACAGATAAAAAAACAAAAATGCAATGTAACCTTAAAGACTAGCTGTTACATTTTAATGTGAGCTTTCGTGGACTTCGTCAGACATAATAAAAGAGAAAGATAACATGGCATTGATACATGGCACCAAAATACAGAGATTGTGGTTGGCTGGGAAGAAAGTCAATGGGTGTTTAACAGTGAGGTGATAGCCTCTTTGATATACAGGTGTATTCCACTGAAGCTTGTGCTACGCAGTTTTTCCTCTTTGTTGTAAAATTCTTTTACAAACACTTCACCACCACAAGTGATGCAAACATCATTATAGGTGATGTCTGAGAAATCTAGGTTCTGCAATATGCAATAAATGCTTTACACATGATCATAGAAATCTGTCTTAATCCCCACCTTGCCAAACATCTGGCAGATGAAAAATCTTGCTGGGCTATTACTCAGGACTCATTTAACATAAGAGTTGTTCTGCAGAACTGGATCATATTGCAGTCTCTCCTGAAATTGGACTACTGTTTCCTACCTTCAGCCCCAATACAAGAGAGGAGAGGGATGAACAAGCTGAAAAGCAGGACCCTCCTGTTCTTTTAAGCTCTTCCTTGAAAAGTTTTCATTGTCCACTTCATAAACTAATGCATCCCACACCAAAGAATACCATAAGGAGGTATTGTGAAAAAATAATTGGCCTGAGCAATATCTCAGTCAAACTACTCTGGGCAATTTGGAGAGCACCCCACCCCCATTCTAATTCAGAGGTTAATCAACCCTGTAACAATTCAACTAGACACATAACTATTCTATTTAATAAGCATCAACAACTTCCACACTCCCATATCCAAGCCAGTCAAGTGGAACACAGCTCCTTAAATAAATACTGAGAGAGCAAGAAGGTTGAGCAGATCAGGCCTCAGCTGGGATATGTCTGTGTGGTGTGGGGCTGTTGTTGCTAATGGGATTGTAATAGATCCTAATGAGAGAGGAACAATAGTAAGCTGAAGAGGGGTTAACAGCAGACACCACTTCCTCATGGGCAGATGGGGATTTCCTTGAGACAATCAAGATCAGATGCTTAGAGGGAGACCGGCAAAATCACCAAGAAAGACATCTGTGTCTGTCACCAAAGGTAGGCTTAGGCTCCTGCACTCCCGTTTTATAATAATAATAATAATTTTAGATCTGGATGGGACACTCTGGATCATTGAGTCCAGCTCCTATCAAAGAGGTCCAGTGTGGAATTGAAGTCCCAGCCTCTGGCTCTGTAGCCAGCTATGTAAGCCGGCGTTTTGTGCTGAATATAAGAAATGGGCTGTTTGTAATCCTTCTCTCTCGAAAGCTTGAAATGAGCCAAGAAACAGATGTATTTAATACCATAAAACATGTAAAAATCACAAATAGGTCTAGAAAATCTTTGCTAACCCACAAGCATAGGTACAGACTCGCCTACTAAACGTTGCAGGAAAAATAAAGAAATGATTGGTGCAAGACAGAGAGAGAATCCTGATTCCTATAAAGTTTAAGATTACTTTGCAAAAAATAAAAAAAAGAGTTTCACCAAAACCTTTAAGAAGTGAGGGAAAGAAAACAGTCACACCATCAATTAGGTAATTTGAATGAACAGTCATATTTAGATCACACAGGTGTAAGGAGAAGTTAAAACTGTGAACTAACAGCTTGTGCAAGGGGTAGGTATGCAGACTTTATTGATAACGTGGTTAAAAAAATTAGAACGCAGGGATCCACCAGCCAGAGACAGGTGCAAACCAATGACTAAAAGGGAGGGGTTAACTTTCCTTACAGTTAAGGAACAAAATGCCTCTGAGTGCAGGAATGTGATAGGAAGGAGTTTTTTTCAGTACCTTCTTAAATGAACAGTGTAAAGGAATAGAGGAAAATAATAGAAAGGGAAAGTTTGGGTAGTTTGGGCGGCATATAAATTGAATAAATAAATAAATAAATAAATAAAAACCAGAGATCTGTTCAAGAAAATTGTAGATATTAAAGGAACATTTTGTGTAAAGATGGACATGATAAAGGACAAAAATGGGAGGGACCTAACAGAAGCAGAAGACATCAAGAAGAGATGGCAAGAATACAGAGAGGAAATACTGTATACCAGAAAGATCTGGATGTCCTGGATAACCCAGAGAGTGGATTGAGCCAGACATCCTGGGGAGTGAAGTCAAGTGGGCCTTAGAAAGCATGGCTAACAACAAGGTGGGCAATCCAGTGGAGGTGATGGCATTCCAGTAGAACAAACCTATCCATGTTGAAAGAAATCAACCCGGAGTGCTCCCTGGAAGGACAGATCCTGAAGCTGAGGCTCCAATACTTTGGCCATCTCATGAGAAGACTCCTTGGAAAAGACCCTGATGTTGGGAAAGTGTGAGGGCAAGAGGAGAACGGGATGACAGAGGATGAGATGGCTGGACAGGGTCATCGAAGCATCCAGCATGAATTTGACCAAACTCCGGGAGGCAGTGGAAGGCAGGACCATGAAAGATCACCTTAAAATATTTAATTAATTAATTAGATTTATACCCCTCCAATCTAGACTGGGTAAATGCCACGTTTATGTCTTGTTTCGTTTCTTTGGCTTTTGCTTGATGTGGTTAGGATGAGAAACTGGCCAGTATCACCAAAGAGTTTTTTCCTGCTGCCTCGCCACTGACAGCAAGAGCAGGCAGGATTTTCGCCCCTAGAAGACCCACCTGGAGATCCTTAGCCTTGCCTGGCCGCTGGATCGCCCGCATCTGGCTGAGATCCGCAGCAAAACAGGATCCCCCTTGCGGCCGGTGGGAAGGGGGAAACGCGACAGCTTAAACGCGTGAAGGACCGCCGGCGCTTGATTGATAGTAATCGGGGGGAGGGAGGGAGAGAGAACAGCCGAAGAAGCCCGCAGGGGGAGGAGAGTGGAACAGCGGGAAGATGAATGGAACGGCGGCGGCGTTTCCGGATAGAGTGGGCGATACCATTTGCTCCACGGGAAGGGGAGACAAAGAACCACAACCGCCTCCCCTCGGCTTGTCCACTCAGGTGGTTCCGTCCAGGCCGCCACAGCAACCGCTTTCCGACCGGAGTAGAGACCGTGAAGGGAGTCACGGGGGCTAAAGAGCTCCTTCTGGCTGCGCGGGTATCGGAGGACCCACAGACGGCTTCCCAATCAGCGCCGTAAGTGGTGGTCCACCACCCCCCTTTTATCGAATGGTACTGGCTGCTTACAGTGCTGAAGGGATAAGAGCAGAAAGAACCATTGCGCACGGAGGGGGGGAATGGTTTAATAAGCCTTCCTCCCCTTGCTTTAGGGGAACCGACGGCCCCTAGTTCTAGGGGGGTCCTTGAAAAACAAAGGAGAGAATGGAACCGCGAACCACTCCGTGGCAGCTTGGGGGGAAACCCCGGCCATGGTTGTTTGCCCCCCTCCCACGGTGTTCCTTGGTTCTGTCCATCACACCTCGGTGGGACCGTCGGCCATTTGGGGAGGATGCCGCTAGGCTCCGAGGAAGGCGGAGTGGGTGGTACCATTATGGCAAAAGGGGGGGGAGCTGCCGGAAAACGGCTCTTCGGTGCTGCTCGCTAGGTAGCTCCACTCACCCCACCCGCGAAGACGGCCGTGCTCTGTTGGGGGCTGTTTCGTGTGACACGAAGGAACCTGCAATAGACCCCGAACAAGGGCCCCTGGCTAAAACACCCCCTTTCCTCGTGGAATGGTGCCGCCTGTCCTTTGTGTAAACGGGGCGCAAGGCGAAACCACTCGCCCTCGGCAGGGGTGGCTGTGAAGGCAAGAAGGTGGTTTGCTCGGATCACTTGCGTGCAATTGTTCTGGGGCCGGATCTCTCGCTATACATATACTGTACCTGTAGTGGTTTCTCTATAGAGAAGGGAAAGGGTGGGGAGGAGAGAGAGAGAGAAAGGGGGGCAATCGTGTGCCTCGCTCTGGGAATTCCTGTGCGTGTTTTGTCGTCCCCCCTCCATAGGAGCGACCATGAGCGACGGTGACAAGAACCCCGCCAGCACCCCGACGCCGGTCACGGACGCGCACGGCGACGGGCGGTGGCTCTCCCTGGTGAGCAGGCGCGGTGGGGCCGGTGGGTGGCCGGCAGGGGGCGCTGTCTTGCAAGGGGGCGGGGGGAGGGCGCTGGCCCCGCCCCCCACAGGGACCCCCCTCCCTTTGCCCAAATGGGTTGCCCCAGCATCATCCTCTCTAATGCTTACTTTTGGCATGATCTCTGGCCTCCTTTTTATTTCATCTTTATTATGGGATCCTTGGCCAACGTTCCTTTGCCTAGTTGAATGTAAAGGAATTTTTGTGGGGTTTGTGTTTTTTTTAGAATTTCCCATTGCCTAGCACTAAGAGTAATACAGTGGTGCCTCGCTAGACGATGATAATCCGTTCCACTGAAATCGCTGTTTAGTGAAATCATTGTCTAGCGAAAAACATCTCTCCATTGGAATGCATTGAAACCTGTTTAATGCGTTCCAATGGGGAAGAATCGTCGTGGTCTAGCGGTCGGCCATAGGAAAGCCGCTTTGCGAACCACTGATCAGCTGTTTTAATCGCTGTCTTCGTCGACAATCAGTTCACGAAGCAGGGAACAAATCGTCGTTAAATGAAAAAAACCCATAGGAAAGATCATTTTACAAAAGGCATTGTCAAGCGATTTCGTCATTTAACAGGGTAAGCGTCTAGCGGGGCACCACTGTACACCATAATTTACACCAGCTTAACTGGTCTGGATGATGATGATGATGATGATGATGATGATGATGATGATAAAAGTTGTGGATGAAACACACTTCAGTGGTGCCCGGAGTCATCGAGGCTTTTGGAACAATATTAAGAAATTTTGCACAATATTATAAGTAATTGCAGATCTCAGAAATCACACCATCAGAGCTACAAAAACTGGCAATAATTAGGCACAGTATACATACTGCACCAATATTTAACAGATACTGTACTTAGGTTTTTGGTTAAAACTTGTATCTGTTATATAATACTGTACCAGCCAATGTTTTTATGGTTTTGATTGGCTGTGCTTGGCAGTTTTGAGTCGCCATCATCCTCTTCGAACTGCACAGCTAGAAGGGACCCTATAGAATAGATCATCGAACGGAAGGGACCCTATAGAATAGATCATCGAGCGCAGCCGCTGTCAAGGAGGCACAGCGGGGAATCAAACTCCCAAACAGCTGAACCATTGAGCGACCCTGAAGCGAACTGGACTGCCACCCCCTGCACAGGGAACTGTGACGATTCCTCCGGAGTGAGCCATACACACTGGATACTCAATAGGGGCCCAGTTTTTAAAATCCCAGTCTTGTTTTGATACAGCGACAACAGGAGAGAATCTGACATACCTTGATGCCCTGCAGATATTTTTGGTGGCAGCTTTCAGAGACCATTTTTAGCCCGAGGTGTCTTGCCCGCCCTTTCTCGGTTTCTGCCAGATTTTCTCCTTATAATATTCCACCCTGATTTTGTTCCCCACCCCCCGGGGAAAACACCAATGCTATCATTCTTTGTCTCTATAATCAGTGTAACCCACTTGAAGTGGGAGGATGGGAGGGGGCCTCCCCCATTTTTCTGCTGAAGCTCTTTGATGGAATATTAGTTCCTTTTTTAAAACATCCTTTTTTAAAATCAGATAATAAAAGTGGAGTGTCGTGCTTCTAGGCATGTGAAGAGATTGTAATTCTTTGTGCTGACTGAGTGAGGGTTTAGCGGCAGATTGACAATAGCCTTACATTAATTAATTAATTAATTTGTTTGTTCAATTTATATCCTGCCCATTTGGTATATTCTACCACTCTGGGTGGGATATAAATCAAACAAACAAACAAACAAATAAATAACCTGTCAGGGATTAACACTGCAGCTCTATAAATCAAACAAACAAACAAACAAATAACCTGTCAGGGATTAACGCTGCAGCTCTGCAGAATTAACGTATATTTAAAGTGGCTGATTGATAGGAGCATTAAGCGCACCTAGCTTTGTATGGGACCAGCAATATTTAAAGTGGCTGATTGATAGGAGCATGAAGTGCACCTAGCTTTGTATAGGACCAACATTCCTCTGGTTGCTTCTTATCCCTTCCTCCTATAGGTAACACTCCCCCTTTCCTCTTTGTGCCTTTGATTTCTTCCGGTTCTTTCTCCCTGTAACTCAGCATCATCGCTTTATTGCTGACAGCAAAGACAAGGAGCCGGAGGTGGTCTTCATCGGCGATTCTTTGGTGCAGTTGCTACACCAGTTTGAGGTAAAGGGACTCCAAAAGGGAACGGAATTGGGGAGGTGGAAACACAAGTGTGTCATCGGACAGTGTGTAACCTTTGATTCCCCCCCTTTAGATCTGGAGGGAGCTTTTCTCTCCTTTGCACGCTCTCAACTTTGGCATCGGAGGCGATGCCACCCAGCACGTGCTCTGGCGTTTGCAGAATGGGGAGCTACAGCACATCCGACCAAAGGTAATGAACGCGGGGTGGCATCTGAAGCTTTAAAAAAAATCATAGAATCATAGAATGATTGAGTTGGAAAGGGACCTCTAAGGTCATCCAGTCCAACCCCCCCTTGCTCAGTGCAAAAATCACCTCTAAGGTCATCCAGTCCAACCCCCCCCCTTGCTCAGTGCAGAAATCCAGATCTGACAGAGGGTGGTTCAGTTTTCTCTTGAATGCTTCTAGCGGTGGAGCCCTCACTACCTCCTGACATCATGGATCGTTCTGCTCCAACAATTAAGACATTTTTCCTGATAATTCAGCCTAGATCTGGCTTCTTGTAACTTGTCCTGCACCCTGAGATGATGGAGAACAGATCCTGCCCCTCCTTTGTATGACAACGTTTCAAGTAATTGAAAAGTGCTCTCAAATCTTCTTTTCTCAAGGCTAAACATGCCCAGTTCTTTCAGTCTTTTTTTCATAGGGCTCGACACAGACCACGGACCCGGCTCAAGCAGGGTCTACTCTATCAGCAATTCAGAGCTCTCGGGTGTATTTACTCTAGCACTGGACTGTGTCTGCTCTGTCCTAGGCATTGAAAGGCCTGGAATATTTCTCTCTCTTTTAAGAAAGCAGATATTCCCAAGTTGCTGAATTGTGCCTGGTATCAATTTCTAGGCTTGCCTGAGATCACTGCTATAAACATCGCAGAGTAGATGCAGCACCTCCATGGGAGGGGAACAAAGAGGGTGGAAAGCTGGGCAGCTTGGTTGCCCGGGTGCCTCGTCTCCTCCCAAGATCACGTCTGGGGCTGGTCCTACCCCCTCAACTTTTTGCTTGAGAGATCCAGCCCTTCAGGGGGAGCCGCTTGCAGCCATAAGCATGCAAGGGCTTCCGTGCCACCCAATTTTGCTGCGGCAGGTTCTCGCCTTCCACGACGACGGGGCGAATCAAGGCAAGTCCTCCCGAGCTTCTGTCGCAACGTGAGAAAAGCAGCTGGAAGAGCAGCCCGTTTGTGAAAAGCAACCCCAGTTTAAAAAGATCGTCGTTTAGCAGGCCTAGGCGGACTGCCAGGTTCTGTGGTGGTTGCCTCGCCCGGTAGAGAGAAAAGCTTCCATTTTCTTTTCTTTTTTCCACTTTGTAGATCGTGGTCGTCTGGGTGGGCACAAATAACCACGGGCACACGGCCGAGCAGGTGGCTGGTGGCATCGAAGCGATCGTACGCGTCATCAATCAGCAACAACCGCAGGCCCGAGTGGTTGTGTTGGTGAGTGGCACCCGTGGGTGGAGGAGGGAGAGTCAGGGGGAAGGTGGCACAAAGCCACCGCAGGCCTCGTTGAACGGGCTTGGCTTTTCGCTCTCCTGCGCCGGCAGGGCCTGCTACCCCGAGGCAAGAACCCCAACCCCCTGCGAGAGAAAAACCAGAGAGTGAACGAATTGCTGGAGGACAAAATGCCGCAGCTCCCAAACGCCTCCTTCCTCGACGCTGACCCGGGCTTCGTGCATTCGGACGGGACCATCAGTCACCACGACATGTACGACTACCTCCACCTGACCCGCCACGGGTATGCGAGGCTCTGCCCGGGGCTGCACCGCCTGCTGCTGTGCCTGCTGGGAGAGTGCCATGCCCAGGCGCCTTGACGGGCGGACGGATGGACAGGCGAGGAGGCCAAGATCAGCCCCATGTTCTGGGCTAGGCGACGGGGAGGGGAGGGGGGCCACCCTGACCAGGAACCAGAATGCCGTCTCCTTCTTCCCCCCCCCCCCCATGGGATAGGCAGCAAATAGCGCTTCTTCTGCCGCCCCTCGCCTTCCGAATATCTTCCCCTACCAGCAGGGATCTCCATGAAGACTGTTCAGTGGCTGTGGGGGTTAAAAGCAGCCTGAGGGGAATTGAGAAATCCCTGCCTAAAATTTAAAAAAAGGGGGGGGGCACCACAACATGTTTAATGTGAATCTGCCCAAGTTTATGTAATAAAATGTTGTACATTGCTGAGCCTAAGTGGTTTCTTTTCCTGCAAGTACCTTACAGCTTGCCCAAGATCACAGGGCATGTAACTCCATCTGCCACACACGTTCCTGGCGATTTCAGCTGGACCCCCCCCCCCATCTTATAAGTACAGTGAGGATTCAAAGCCTGGGCCTGTGGCTCCCTCCCCACAGATTTCTGCCAGCCACTCTCCACAAACTTAGCTGAAATGAGCACTTTTAAAAACAAAGGTTAGTATCGGGCAATCAAATGCTATTACTGGTTGTTGTGGGGTTTTCGGGCTCTTTGGCCGTGTTCTGAAGGTTGTTCTTCCTAACGTTTCGCCAGTCTCTGTGGCCATGGGCATCTTCAGAGGACAGCATTCTGAAGATGCCGGCCACAGAAACTGGCGAAACATTAGGAAGAACAACCTTCAGGACACGGCCAAAGAGCCCGAAAAACCCACAACCACCATTAGATCCTGGCTGTGAAAGCCTTCGCGAATAAAATGCTATTACCAACTGTAGATTGTTTCCCTGCTAGTGAGATAGCATGGAATGCAGGGTCGTGATGATCTTCCTGCCCAGGGCATGCTAACCCAGGATACTGGAGTCCTTAACTATGTCACAAACAGATTAATAGAGCCAGCTTGTTCTTCAGTGGGGCCGTATCCTCTCCCCTGCTTTTTCACTTTAGATCTGTGAAATTCTCCCTCTCCTATAGGTAAACACGTTCATGACGCTGGACAAAACCTGCCTGCTCCCACTCAAACAGGCTGATGGATTTGCTGGGAAAGCTTTTATGAGTGCCTTGAAGAACCTCAGACCTTGTTTCCTTCACTGCCTCCTGCTGTCCAACTTAAAAGTCATCCTCCAGACCTTTCTTCAGAGGGGGAAAAATGCAGAAAACACACGGAATGGCTAAAACGCTTTTGCTCAGTACAGTTAAGCCGCAACCAAAAAAGGCCTGTTGAATTTGTGGCTCTTTTCAAAGAGCTGACTCGCCTAATTCTCACTGATCCCATGTGCCTACTCTAGCGACTTACTACGCTAAGCAATAGGATTCTTAAATGGTGACAAATCCATTCCTGTTCTGGAGGAGTATGGCAGCATGAGGCTAACTATACAGGCCACCTGCTCCACACTCCCTGGAGTTCATGCTCCCTTTGAAAATCAAATTGGGTGGAAGATTTGAGGGGACGCGGAGCGCATGCGCGCAGGAATTAACATTACAGAGATCTGCAGATCAGATGCACCGAAGCGCTGGATGTAAACACATAATTACAGGGTATCCTACTGCTTAGTATTTTAAAGGTGACAACCTAGGAATTCTATCTCAGTGTGTGCCCTTCAACGAATTTTGCGCTGATGAGCATCCTTTTTGCTGCCGAGACAAGGCAGCAGAATATGCCAAGTTGCACTGTAGTGCAAAGATTAGGGAGACGACTAAGGAGCAACAGGGCAGAAAGCCCGGGCTTGCCGACGGCTCTCTTCTCCCTTCTGCAGCCAATACCAACCCATGCCGAACGTGGATCCGCACACCACCCCCACCCACTGTGCAGGTTTCCGAAAAGACAAAGGAAGTTTCAATGGAGGCTGGATGATTCCGCTTTGCCCGCTCTCACCGTCACAGGCTAGATGGAGGCTGGATGATTCCGCTTTGCCCGCCCTCACCGTTGCAGGCTAGACTCTATGGAAGATCGGGCAGAAAGTGCATCATCAGCAAAAGGCTCTTGATAGATACAATATGCAAATACTGAAAACGGAACAGATTGTTAAAGAGCTTTAATAGTATGTGAGGTGGCCCCCCCCCAAGACAGAAGGGGTTACACATGGTCAACATGTGGCTGCGGCCACCAGGGCACTCACACTTTTTTGGGGGGGAAATCCCCCCCATCCATCAGCACCACCTGCTTGTTTCTTGCTCCTCCAGTGCTGGGCCAGACTCACCCACCTCTTTCCCCCATCAACCTCCTCCATCGTCTTGTCCAGATTCAGGCTGTGCCACATGCCAAGTCTCTGCTCCAACTGCCCTCCTCCTCAATCTCTCGCTCTCTGTGCATCAGACCAAGAGTCCTTGACCGGATAAAGGGACAGGAGCACCATCGAGACTCAACTGGCCCCAGCAGTGGTCTGCATAGCCTTGCTTCCCTCCCCTTTCTCCTCTGGTGGCCCAGCGCTCTGGATCGGTCCCCAGTGCTGCAGCTGTGGAGGAGGGGGGGTGACACTCTCCCTCCTGCTCCCCTTATTGACATCGAAGCAAGGAGTACGTAGGATCTCGACATATTTAACATTATTAAAAAGGGAGGGAGTTGAAAATTAGCATCAGCTGCTTTTACAGGTTCTTTTCTGTTTGCCTCCCACAGCTGTTTTCCCCTTTCCCCCACCCCACCCCACCCCCAGAAGTCCCCGCAGCAGGAAGGGCAAGGCCTGTGTCCTGGAATGGTTGATATTTCGGCAGCACGACCCCCGCCACCTTGAATCCTTGGGAGGAAACGGGGTTGGGGGGGCTGCAGAAGGCTCGGCAGGAATCCACAACCCTTCCTCTCCCCCACTTTCAGATCAGAACAGCTGGAAACGAGGGCAAGAAGAGAGGAGCGCGGGAAGAGTCGCCTGGGCACAGCTCCCCCTTTTTTAGTCCCAGGAGGGGCGAGCTGGGGGGCCGGGGAAGAGTGAAGTTAGCAGGGAAAGGGCATGAGCTGGGAGGACAGATGGGGGGGGCAAAGCTCCAAGACCCCTTGTCCGCAAGGCTGTTTCTCTCACTTGGCTTTGCAACGCCATTCATCTACTGCTGTTGCTGCTGCTGTTGTTGTTGTTGTTGCTGTTGCTGCTGCCGCCGCTGCCCCCCATAGGGGAAGATTGCTGATTACAGTCCCAACCAGCTGCTGTGGTAGGAAGAGGGGCTGCTGGGGGAGCTGTGCTGGTGGCGGCCGCGGCTTCTGCCCCTTGTGCTGGGTCCTGTGCGAAGGCCAGCTCCAAAGGCTGTCCCTCCATGGCCGTGCCGCCTTGGCCCCCGGGGCCCCCGGGTTCTGGTGTGCTCGGTGGCTGCTGCTCCGTCGGGGTGGCGGCTTGCATGATCTTCTGCCTCACTTCCCGGATCTTGAGCTGCAAGCAGACTTTGGTAGGGAAGATGTCGGAGTAGCGGGCTTGGAAAGCGGCCGTCGCTTGTGCTGAAACAAGAGGGATGGAGGACAGGTCTAATGAGATGACAAAAGGCAACAAGGAGCCTTCCCTTTACGCACAGAGCAGGCGCCTATTTAGGAAAGGCAAAAGTTGCTGAGAGAAAGGGATTCTTCATTGAGTCGGTGCTCCTTTCCCCAGCAAAGTTAAAGAATCAGAGGGGCGTGCAGGCCAACCAGCAGCCCCCAGTTCCTTCTCCCCAACGGAATGTGGCCATTTGGCTATCCGGGCCAGGAGTCCTCCCAGGGGATGCCAGACCAGGCGGCCATCACGCAAATGATGCTTCCAGCAGGAATCCAGAAGTGTCCCAACGTGACTGAGACTGGACCTCTTTGCTCAAAAGCAACCTCTAACAAGGGGAATTGGGGGGGGGGGTAGGAAATCCACTCACAAAGCAACGGCCTCCCCTTGGCACGCGGCTACCCCAACCCAAGGGGCAACAGGGATGGTCCTCCCTACCTGAGGGGAAGAAGCCATGATCCTGGAAGAGCTGCATGACCAGAGCCCTCCTCTGGTCCAAGGTACGTCGAAGGGATGAATACGGCACCTTCTCGTACTCAAGCTCCCCGAGGACATCATCTGTATCTGTGCCTAAAAGAAGGCAGGGACCGTTCAGAGCCTAGTGTGATCCTGGTTGTTTTTTTTTGGGGGGGGGGAGATCACTGGTAGCTGACCTGCTGAGGCTCTAGTATGGCCGGGCATTGATTCTCTAGGGCAGTGGGCCCTCAAATCTATCTTAGCTTATGTTCCACCCATCATGGTCTCATAGAAGTTCCACCACAATATAAAACAGAGTCCATTTCTCTCCCCCACCCCAAAGGGACATTTTCTGTGTTCACAGACATTCTGTTAATGTGTTTATGCTAAATGGGTGGAGAGGGGAGGGGTGGGGGCTGAGGAGAAATAACGATTGTCCAAAGTTACCACTAACATGGACAAAAGTCTCAGGGAGATGATCCACAGCACAGAGAGCGCTGGTGGGAGATGGCGTGGAAGATATGAGGATGAAGGGAAAAATGGCACAAATCCTTTGGAACCGCCACTAACTCTCTGCATCCCACCAGGAACACTGTTGGGACAGGACCACTAGCCACGGAGAATCTCTGCCCGAGGGTCCCCAACCTTCCTACGTGTCTCTGGAAACTGAGCCTCCATTTTGGAGCAGCTACGAGCTACGCCGGAGGGCCTTCAAGAGGAAACTGGACAACCCTCTTGTCAGATCGGCTTCAACTGGATTCCTGCCTCGAGCAGGGGGTCGGATTCAATGGCCCTTTGAAGCCCCTTCCCACTCCATGATGCTATGATTCTATACAACCTTTCAAAACTTTCCACGCTAGACCTGTTCAGGGAATAACAGGGTCTTCTCGCAGTCTGGCAAATGGTCAGCTCACTCTCTGGGAGTATGCCAAGCAGGCGTCCTCGGTCCCTCCGCCTTCCCTCGCTCACCCGTTTTGTCAAAGGTGAAGATGTCTCCTTCACACTTGGCACTCTTGGGAGTGTTGGGCTCTGAGCTGCAGCTGGAGCGGCGCCGCATCTTCCGCTTGGGGGAGATCGGGTCTTCCGTGGAGGAGTCCAAGTCTGAAAAGGGAAACCAAGCCACACTGCCAAACCACTAAGACAAACACTCGCACCTCAGTCATACACCTCTGAGGAAACCCAAGGGTGCAATATTCTGGACACAACCAGAAAGGGTTACTTTAACAGGAGGGAATCTCCCTTACAGGGAAACCCTCCGTCCATCCACTGGGGAATCGCGTGTGTTCTTGGACCCGTGTTAGCTGGCAGTGTGTACCGAATCGCACCGGAAAGGGTTACTTTAAAAGGAGGGAATCTCCCTTACAGGGAAAACCTCCGTCCATCCACTGGGGAATCGTTCCAGCCCAGCTCCGGAAAGCAGTCGCTCGAGAGCTGAACCAAACAGACCCAGCTTGGGCACGGATCAGGGTTGGCCTGGAGCACTTATCTCCTGTTGTATGTCGTGTGATTGCCAAGAGATAGCTTGTAAGGTAGTGTCCGACACCAGGGTGCGGTGCTCATCCCCGTTTCCAAGCTGTAGAGCCAGTGTTTGTCTATAGACAGTTTCCATGGTCACGTGGCCAGCATGACTAGACACGGAATGCCATTACCTTCCCACCATGGTGGTACCTATTTTATCTACTCGCATTTATATGCTTTCAAACTGCTCGGTTGGCAGGACCTGGGACGAGCGACGGGCGCTCACTCCGTCACGTGGATTTGATCTTACGACGGCTGGTCTTCTGACCTTGCAGCACAGAGGCTTCTGCGGTTTAACCCACAGCGCCACCATGTCCCGTGTGAGATAGCTTGTACCAAACCTCATAACCAGTAGTCCAAATGAGAGCTGTCTCTGCCTGTGTGATCACACCCTAACTTGTCCCTTAAGAGGGAACTGGGAAACAGGAAGGGGGAGGTTTATTCTTCCTTTTATACTTTGTCTAAGAAACAGGAAAGGAGGGGCAGAGAGAGAGAGAGAAGGCGATTCTCCCGCAAGGCCTGTGCATTTGGAAAGAAACTCATGGTCTGCCGGTGTTTCCTTACTGTGGAGCTTCTACCTATGATCCAAGAAGCTGTCCTGCCCCCTCCCCAGAAATTTTAAGCTGCAGCAGAAAATTACTCCCCACAACCGAGATATAACTGGATTCCTCGCCTTCTTTTATTTATCATATGTATCTCAATGAACTGTGCGCCTTTAAAATTCAGGAGAGTCAATATATCACCAAAAAGTAATTTTACAAAGAAGCCTTCTGCTTGAAGACTGTTTGCAATGCAAGAAGGGCCGCCGCTGCCACCACCACCCCGAGCTTACCCTTACCCTTTATTCCTTACCGGTGGAGTTCTTGCGCTTCTTCCGGTAGCTGCCCAGGATGGCACGGGGTGAGGTGGCAAGGGACTGCAGCGTGGGCGAGGGCAAGACTTCTTCAGGCTTGAACTCGGGGAGCTCGGCAAAACGCTCCTCAAAATCCACCTCGGAAAGAACCCTGCTGGGGGGGGGAGGCAGGAGCTGTGGGTCATAAAGCGCAGCCCACGGCTCCCTCAAATGAGACACCCACACCCACACCGCTTCATTCCTTGAAAGGGCCCTGTCGCCGACCCAAACTCTCTTGGATTCCACCTCTTATGTGCCCCGGGTCTCTGTGGGCACCTTTACGGACGTGGCTTCCCATGAAACATTGGTTTACACAAGTCACAAACATGGCTCTTCTGTGCTTCCACCAACACACTCCCCCCCTCCCTCAACCCCCTCCTTCCCCATCACTCACTTGTCCACGGAATCAAAGGTTTTCTTCAGGGGAGGGGGCCGGACTTTGACTTTCTTCCCCACTGGTCCCTCCTTTGGCTCCGGTCCTTCAGAGGTAGAGGCAAAGGGAGCCACTGGAGGAAGGGCAGAAGCCCCGCACCGAGAACCCTCTCCGGAGTTTGGAGGGCCAGGGCTGAGCGAGGAGGAGGAGGAGGAGGAGGGCCCCACGGACGGGGCTGGAGCCTCCGGTCGGCCCTCAGGACCTGCAGTTCTCCAGTCGGGGGAAGCGGGGAACTTCAAGGCCTGAGCAAAATGGGAGACATAAAGAGTTAGGGCCAGCGCAAGGTGGAAATGACATTCGTACGGCAAGGGAGTGTATAAATGGCCAAGGCAGAAATGGGAAGGGCAACTGGGTAAGAGGAAAAAGAAGGCTTTTAGGGCCTTTTTACCGTCTCAGTCCCTTTGCTGCCTGACGGAGGGACCGGCGGGGGGTCACGGACGGCCCTCTCCTCGGTGGGCGCTCCCGCTGTTTCCTGCTGGCTCCAGGCTTCTGTGGTCGCCGCCTCGGTCCCATGGCCTTGCTGGGGGGAGGGGGGAGACACCGGTTCCCAGGAATCCTGCTTCGACTCCTGGGCTTTGACCAGGCCCGGCTCAGAAGCCCGGCAGGCAGGGGGGGAAGCAGAGGGCTCGGGGGCTCCTGTCTCCCGGGAGGCCCGTTCCACTGCTTCAGCCCCCCGATGGTATCGTGCCCCAGCAGACTCCGGCGGCGGGCCCCCGTGCGGCCGGACCGAGCCCGGCGAGGAAGCTGTCTCGTAAGAGCCCACAGGGATGCTGGCAACGGTGGCTTTCACCTTCTGGGGAGGCTTGAGAGGTGGGCGCTGAGGCCGGGCAACGGCCGAAGGAACCGCTTGGGCGGCTGGAAAGCACAAACGTGGAAAGACAACGCTGGTTTCAGACCAGAAGTGGCACAGCTTTTATAGTCTTTTCAATGACCTCTACGATCAGCCCCCCTCAACCGAGCCCCATGTTTAATGTTCAAGTTGTGATTATTCTGCTTTTAATTCTATTCCTTTTGATATTGTGAACTTCCTTGGGTCAGCCCTTCTCCTTATTGGGAAAAAAGGCGACCTCTAAATAAAACAAACAAGCAAGCAAGCGAAGAACCCTCGTCACTTTGTATTATGAACAAAGTCAACAGGTTGAGAAAGAAAAAGACCGTAAGAGCCCGTGAATGAGTGTGTGTTTCAGAAGGAAGTATTCTAGCCCAAATGGAAGAAAGAATGCTTGAAAACCTCTCAGCGACATCTGCTGAAATCTCCAAAATCAGTGTAGGCTCAACACGGTTTGCCGCGGTCAAGGAATGGAGCATCAATTTGCTCCCTCCTCTTTTAATTAAGAGCAACCCCATTTGGTCTGTCATCCTACAGGAGTCTGGAGGAACCCAGGATGCACATGTTTTAGCCACCTCTCTTCCCACGAACAAGCACCACATTCAATAGGGATTTCTCTACCCTTGGCTCCATACCTGTAGAAACCAAGCCCTGGCTGGATGTCCCGGAGCCTGGCGTGCTGCTGGTGCTGCTGGTGCTGCCGCTGCCACCCACTTTGGGCAGGATGGCTGCGGAAGAGGAGGCCGGGGCGGTGCTTGTGGCCGCCACCGTATAGACCACGTTGTGACTGGCGGCCTGAGCAGGACTGGTCCCTGTTGGGCTGGGGTAGATGGCAGTGATGACCTGCCCTTGGCCAGCGCAGGAAGTGGGGAGCTGGGGGCTTTGGAGCGGAGACACCCCCACTTGGCCGGGAGCCAGCAGAGGGTTCTGACCTGAAGAAGGCAGAACAAGGAGAAACAGTCGGGCACGGGAACAGAACTCAAGTCAGCCCCTTCTGATGCCAGCTTTCACCACCACTACAACCTGTCCCCTCTTCCCCATCCACTTCGTTTAACCCATGAAGCGAGACTGGCATCGTTCCCATCATCCACTCTTCCCCCTCCAGCTGCTGCCCCCCACCTTACCCGAGAGCAGCGGCTGCACTATGGCCTGCCCGTTTGGCCCGATCGCCGTGAAGCCCAGCGCCATGGGGGCAGGGCCCACCGGGGACTGGACGTAGGTGGTGGCGGGTGCGGCCGGGGGGGCGCTGGGCTGCGTGTGGGAGGCCGAGGTGCCCAGGGACAAGGGGTGCCCAGCTGCTGACTGCACATAGGTGATCCTGGGGGCAGAAAGAGGGGAGCGAGTTATAAGGGCGGCTGCTGGGAAAGCACAGGATATCCCCCCCCCATGTGCCCCCAGGATCTGGCATTTTGGAACGGGCACGGAGAATCCATACCTGGTGGACGAGGACGGCAACAGCACCTTCTGGGTTTGGCTCGGGGTTCCCACCACGGCCGTGGCGACGGTGCCCTGCAGAGCAGCTGGACTCAGCGGGGGTACCAAGGTGGCCGTGGACTGCGAAGAGGACTGCGGCTGGACCACTGGCACTGGGGTGAGTTGGATGATCTGAACGGGGCAGAAAGGCTGCGTTAGTAGAAGCTGACAGAGGAGACACGAAGAAGAACCCGTTTCTGCCTCGGCACAAGCGTGTGTACATCTGCGTGCCATAACGGCGTTTGGAATATCTGTTTCACAGCAAAAATAAAAAAAAAGTGCGCTCCTAAATGCATATCTGTCCAATGTAATTTTTACAGTCATTCAGCCTTTAAGGTTTTGCATTTTCAAGTAAGCAGTGGCATAAGTAAGAAATGACTTTATCAGCATGTGTACCCTGTCATATCAAGAATTTATGAAAGAGAAAAGAACTGAAGCATTACGAGGCAATGAAATACACACTAGGATTGCAGATGTGAAGGTGAAAAACCCTCTTCTAGCCCTATCAAACCTTCTCTTGTTCCTCCCTCATCTGCATAACACAGACCATTCTGAAGCTTCCACCGTTTTTCTTACAGCCCACCCCAAACTAGACAGTCGTATCTGGGAAGAAGGTGAGAAAAGCATTTAATAACAAGAAAAATCAGACTTCCAAAATCCACAGAGACAACCTATAGATGTTATGACCAAGGAAGAAAATGTTATTTTTCTATTGGTTAAAGAACAACCATGTAGAAACTCTGGACAAATGGAGATTTTTGGAGAGTGTTGAGGGGGAAAGAGAAAGAGTCCTGTCCCCCCACCCCACCCTGTTCTTCTATAAAATTGGACATGTGGGTTCACAATGGAAAAAAAAAAACAAGAATCAATGCAGTTCTGGAGAAGAGGACAATAAAAGAAGAAGAAGAATATATATGGAGGAAGAAGATTGCTGCAAGACATCCTGTCTATGGTGGTGGGGAACACATTTAAACTGTATTTGGTTTGTGTATTTTATGTTTATGTTATAGTCATAACATTTAAAATTAAAAAAGAAAAGAAAATTTCCTAGCTCCCAACAAGGGACCAAGGCTTTCAAAGCAATGTAAAACAGACAGAATAAAGATACACCAATCTAAGAAAACCTGCAGCATTAAGGAATAATAATTCTGTTTAAATGGTGTGGATATGCAACAGTGAAAATATTCTCAATATTGCTTTAAAGTGTAGTTTGGTGCCTAAATAGATTGCTACTTTTTAGAACCATGAAAATGGGAGACTATTTCAATCAAAACAGTACTTAAAAAGGAAACAAACAGCCATTTTCCCCCCAGAGTTCATTGTTTCCTGCTTCTCAGACACCAAAACCTGGGTTAGAGGTCCTTGAGTAACATTAAGATGCATGTCTCCCTCTGTAGCATCTAATAAATCCATAATTTTGTGTCTACAAGAAAGGCTCGGTTCTTAGGGTCTCTGGGACAATATCCCAGAAAAAACCCAAGATTAATCAGATTTTTCTCTTTCGGGGTAGACATATTTTGGCCGTAGCTTCAACATTTCTTGACATTTTACATCCTGCCCCCTTGTAATGGCCTGATGGCCTGATGATGGATGATTCATGAGAAAACCAGAACTGTTACTGTTTTATGTAGGGATGAACAGCAAGCGCAAACACTAGGCATTTTTTAAAAATAAAAATAAATAATACAAAGAGCAGAATGCCTTGTGAATTTTTGCTTTTGACACATCTGGAGTGGATACCCTGCCCTCTTGTGGCCCACAGGATGTATCTGAAATAAGACATATAGATTTTCCTTGGCGGCTACTGGAGAAGGACCAGAGTGGGTTATACAGTGGTGCCTCGCATAGCGCGGTTAATCCGTTCCGGATTAACCCTCGCTATGTGAAAACATCACTAAACAGAACATAAAAACCCACTGGAACGCATTAAACATCATTTAATGCGTTCCAATGGGCCCTAAACTTAACGTTCAGCGAAGTTTCCTCCATCGCGGCAGCCATTTTCGCGCCCTCGGTAAGCGAGGGGAGGGCACGAAAACGCTGCGCGCGGCCATTTTAGAACCGCCGAACAGCTGATCCGCGGGCATCGCAAAGCAAAACGCTTACCAATCGTCGCTACGCGAGTTTTGCCCATTGGAACAATCGGTATGCCTCCGCATTAGCGATCCTGAAAAGGGGATCACTATGCGGATTCATCATTAAGCAAGGTACCATTGTATTTAAAATTGGGAATGAAGAAAGAGGGGAGAAAGGGGGATTTTCACCACTAGATGCATTGTCAGTCACCAATTCCTTATGCTTACCTAACATAGCCATGGATCTCTGAAATCTTTACTTCCTTTATCCCAAGGGATGTCTTTTGGATTTCACACACCAAAATATATCAGGAGACACAATTTACATCAGCTTGAGACACAATTTTACGCCATTGACAGAATTTCCTGTTGCCAGCATAGAAACAAATCTACCAATTCATTTGAAATATGATATTAAAGGAGAGTTTCACGGATACCAGGAACTGCCAGAAAGACGAATAGATGGATATCAAATCAAATCAAGGCTATCTTACTTTGGGCATATCACAAGAAGGCATGTTTCACTGGAAAGGACATTAATAAATAACTGTATGCTGGCCAGTCAATTCTGACTTATGGCAAGAGGGTTTTTGTTTAAGGTAAAGAATACTCAGAAGTGGTTTAATATTTTTTTTTCCTATAGGCAGCTTTGGAACTGTGCAGCTGGCCCATGATGACCAAGGCTGCCTCTAATTACAGGAGGGCTTTGGAACTGTGCAGCTGGCCCATGATGGGCAAGGCTGGCTGTACTTACAGGAGGCACAGAAGGGAACTCAATTAAATCACTGAGCTATCCAGCCAGCTAAAGAAAGGACAAGAACACTGGGGAAAGTGGGAGGCAGCAAAAGATGAGGAAAAGGCGAATGTGAGATGGCTTGATTCAATAAAGGAACTTTGAGACTGCAAGACCTGAGCAAGGACAGATGGCTTGATTCAATAAAGGAACTTTGACGCTGCAAGACCTGAGCAAGGACAGCTGGACAGCTCAGCGGTTTAGGCATCTGACTACAGAGCCAGAGGTTGGGAGTTCGATTCCCCACAATGCCTCCTTGCTACGGACTGGACTCCATGATCCATAGGATTTCTTCCACAATGCCTCCTTGCTACGGACTGGACTCAATGATCCATAAGATCTCTTCCCAGCTCTGCAGTTCTACAATGATTGCGGTTTAGGCATCTGACTACAGAGCCAGAGGTTGGGAGTTCGATTCCCCACAATGCCTCCTTGCTACGGACTGGACTCCATGATCCATAGGATTTCTTCCCAGCTCTGCAGTTCTACGATGATTATTATTATTATAATTCATAGGGTTGTTGTAACGTGACAGCATGTCACGACGACAATGGCACTGATTTCTCTAGACAATCAATATACAACACCGGCTCCCTGGCCACCTCCCGAGTTCTCCTCCTCTATAGGCACTGACCTTGCTGGCTGGCTGGCTGCCATTCTGCACCGGAACAGGGAAAGGTGAGGCCGCGAGAGGCAGCTGGGCAGCCGCGGTGGTCCGCACCGCCACCTGGGGGGCCGCCATGGGCACCAGGACTTTGCCTTGCATCTGGAGCCCAGCGGAATTCATCATCTGCCCAGACACCAAGTGGGCTGAACTCCCAGGAGAAGGTGACTGCACTGGAGACACGGACTGGACTGGAGAGGCAGGAGAGAAAGAACACAGAGAGGAGGAGGGTCAAGCCCACCACTCTGAAAAGCGACTCTCTCTCTCTCTTTTTCTTTTCTTTCTTTTGGACTACAGCTCCCAGAATCCTTTATCCAGTGGGTATTCTTGGGGGGGGGTGTCACCATCCAAAAAGGTAGCACAGTCAAGCTGAACACCTAAGTGGAAGTGACTGGCAAAGCTTGGGGGGGG